CAAGCTCCCTGGTGACAAGGGAGCATGGAGCCGGCTTCCTGGCCAATCAGGAAGCCCGGCAGGGTGTAATGACTCGCCGCCTTGGCTCCCTGATACCGGAAGTTCCGGTAGTGGGATAGGCAGCGTGAGCATTTGGGCAAGTACAAGTACTTGCCCAGTTACCCGGTATTGGCACCAATACTAGTATTTGTATCGGCGCATCCCTCATAACACCAACATACACTGAGTGGCCAGATTATTATGACCACCCCATCAGTACTTCGTTGGGCCGCCTCGTGACTCCACGAGATGATGAAAGGTGATGCGAGGAATCTGACACGGCACTGTTGCCCTTCTGTTGTCTTGTACCAGTCTTGCCACTCTCCGTTCTGCCCTAACATTGACTAGTCGCTGACGGCCACAATTCGCACGTTCAGACCCAGATTGTCTGCTTACAGTCCGGTCTTTAAACACTTTAACAACAGCTCCTCTTGAACATTTAACGAATTCTGCTGTTTTGCTGATACTCGCTCCATGGCTCCGAGCGCCAACAATCATCCCACGTTCAAAGGCTGTTAAATCGCATTGTTTCCCCGTATCTTCAGAAACAAATCACTTCTACTGTCGTGGTAACCAACCTGCTTCCCTATTTATAGCTAATTATAGCTAATTTGCCTACAAACGTCAGGTGGTCATAATAATCTGGCCACTCAGTGTATAATTTACCATAGCGTAATGATAGCGTAAGCTGTGTCCTGACGCTCAGGGTCAGGTGTCAATAACTGAAGGAGGGAGTCAAAGCTAAAAAAAAAAATAAAAAAAAATAACAAACAAAACATCAAGGTCACTTGGGGAAAGGGATGAAAAGTTGAAAGCACATTACACAAGAGTCAGGAGTTGTCACTATCATTTCACCAGAACAGCCACAAGAAGCATGGAGTGCTATGTACTTAAAACACTTCACTGGAAAACATTTTACATTTTTCTGGTAAAATATATTACCTTGGAATAGACATACGAGTGAATGCATAAAACTTTTCCGGATGAGTATGCAGGTCTGCATATAAAGTCCAAAATTGACCCTTTGATTCCCTTAGCCTCAGGAGCGGGTGCGCCCAAAAACGACGTCTCCTGCGAGCACGTTCTCTGAGGATTGCTGTAGCCAACACGAACCTCATGCCTGCATATAGGTGATACATGCCTGCTCCCCACCTTTTCACACACAAAGGTGAATTTGCTTTGAGGCAGAAGGAAGTGACCTCAGAGCATTATTAGCATACTGACAGCCAGACAGAAAAAAAAATGGAACCCACTGGAACGCATCAAAAACCGCAATACACCATGTTCCAGATCTGGTCCAGAAAATGGTGTGAACCCAGCCTAAAGCCGGACAGGGGTTCTAAATCCCTTCCACTCTATCCAAAACTAGAAAAAAAGAAAAAAAAAAACCTAGCTGGAGTTGGAGTTTAATAGGCTTAATTTAAATTTGGGGCAATGTTATTTGGGGTGGATCCACTCTTAATGAGAATGCAATGTATCAAGTTACTAGAACCTAATTAAAGTGTATGTAAACCCTAACGATGATGATGAAATCTGACCATGCCCTGGGTGTAACATGAAACATGATCTGAAAGGTGAATGCAGCCTTAATGTCTTTTTTAAAAAGTCCCAATTAAAATACCCAGGGGGGGTATTTATCAAAACTGGAGCAAACAGAATCTGGAGCAGTTGCCCATGACAACCAATCAGCATCTCTCTTCAGTTTGCCCAGGTAAGATTTGAAAATGAGACAGAGAAGCTGATTGGCTGCAGTGCAAATCTGCTCCAGTTTTAATCAACCGCAAAATCTTAGGATCCACCACAGTTCCAGATGCCTGCCTAGTGGTGTAGGGGCCAGCAGATGGAATCACTGCTCACAGTGGGGGCCACAGGCATCCAACTTTGCTCTGCAAGAGTCCAGAAAAAAAGACAATCCTTGCAGTTTCTTTGTGGGGTCCCCACAGCTCTAACATACACATGCAAAATATTTTTTTTTAAATTGTCAGCCTTGTTTGACCTTTTCTGCTCTTCAACATATCAATGGCGGGTGCACAGAAGCAGCAATGCATTCACTCTTCTATCTTTTGTTTTCCATGGCCTCTAGGTGAAGGCTGCGGGAGACTCTGTAATGTTCCTGGTAGTAGATGAAGCTACCTACAAACACTACCAGCAGAACAAGGACAATATTACTGCAGATCAGGCCACCACAAAGCTGCTACCAAATCTTCCCCGCATCGTGGAGCTGACCAAGGGATCTGATGGATATGGGTTCTATCTCAGGCAGGAGAAAAATCGCAAAGGTAATAATAATAATAATATAAGAGATAGTGTAAAATATCCTGAGATTCACAGAGCAGTTCAATGATCACATGAGGTTCTGTTCACATTTAGTGATTTGTACAATTTGAAACTTCATCACAAGGGCTTTAACGCTTGACATTAGGATTTCCATTATATCCAATGGTGCCCATTCAAACCTGAGCATAGTGTCGCTTAGGCCTGGTTCACACCTGGGCGTATTGAATATGCGAGTTTGTCTCACGTTTTTACCGCGATTCGCAGTAAAAAAACGCGCGACAAACGCGCGTTTCCGAGGGCTACTTGGCTGTATCCCAATGGAAACGCGCGACCAAAACGCCCCAAAGAAGTACATGGACTTCTTTGGGCGTAGGCCGTTTTGTAGCGCATTCAGACGGGCAGAAATACGGAAAGGTGTGGACCATACCCATAGAAAACAATGGGATTTTCATGTTTGTAGGTTTTGTTGAGCGTTCATAGAGCGTTGAATGCGCGTCAAAACGTAAAGGTGTGAACAGGGCCTTAAAGCTTGAGGCTCGTTGCTTGAAAAAGTACATGAGCTTCTTTTGTGGCAGAGTCCTGTGTTTTGGCCCCAGTAGACTGAGTAGCATCTGAAAATCATGAAAAAATGAACATAACGCGCATTATTGAAAAGTTTCCTTGCCTAGTAACTAGATTTCCATTGGCTAGAAATAATAACTATTAAAAAAACGCTTAAAAAATTGCCCAAGAAGACAAAAGTTGCTCAGCTAAAGTGTGAATGCGGCCTGAATGTGTAACATGGGAAGTACGGTAATAAAGGCCGCTGACTTCCATGATGAATGATATCTAATAACCCTATTATTATTATACAGGATTTATATAGCGCTATCAGTTTGCGCAGCACTTTACAATATAAGGAAGACATTATAATCACAATACAATTCCAGACAAGATGGTAAGGAGGGCCCTGCCCTTGAGGGCTTACAATCTAAAAGGGAGGGGCCAGTGACACATGAGGAGGGAGCTGTGTGGGGATGAACTGTTTGAGAACGTGATGGTTGAGTGGTTAGGTGAGGTGGGATAGGCTTCCCTGAAGAGATGAGTCTTTAGGGATCGCCTAAAGGCAGTCAGAGTGGGAGATAGATGGACAGGTTGGGGTAAAGAGTTCCAGAGGATGGGGGAGACTCTAGTGAAGTCCTGGAGGCTAGCATGGGAGGAGTTGACGAGAGAGCTGGAAAGCAGGTCTTGGGGATGGTTAGGGTGATATTTTGAGACAAGGTTTGAGATATAGCTGGGGGCAGAGTTGTGGATGGCTTTGTAAGTCATTGTCAATATTTTGAATGTTATCCTTTGGGTGAGTGGAAGCCAGTGGAGGGATTCACAGAGGGGGGCTGGGGATGGAATCCAGTGGAGGGATCGGCATAGGGGGGTTGCAGACACTGAGCGGTTGGTCAGGTGGATGAGTCTAGCAGCTGCATTCATGATAGACTGAAGGGGGGATAGCCTGTGTAGTGGAAGGCCAATGAGGAGGGAGTTGCAATAGTCAAGACGAGAGATAACAAGGGAGTGGATGAGTAATTTTGCAATTCTGCCTTGATTTCGGTCGTCCGTTGTTAGTTATACTTACATGTGCCAACGGATTTCCTATATTGACTGGAGTGAGCCCACTATTATTAACTCCTTTTTTACTGATTGGATGTGGGGAAGAAAGGTGAGGTCCGATTCAAGGATGACAATTAGGATAACCCTAAAGTATATCTAAAGCCCAAATAATTTGTTTAGATTTCGGTAGATTAGGGAATGGTTTAAATTCCTGTAAGACTTTTTTTTGCCCTGCCCTGAGACAGGGAAATTTCTCCAAAGTGAAGGGAAATGCCCTCGAAAACTGGTGTCCATATTGGAAGATTTTCCTTCATCTCCTCTAACGGTAACAACTGTAAAGGTTTTGATTTTCCATCATTTTGTATCACTTTTGGTGATGTCCTGCATATTTTATTAAGCAAGACTCATCTATGGTATGATGGTTCTGTTATCATCCAATAAGGTATTTTGCCTGATGTCCGCAGGTCACTTCATTGTGGAAATTGACCCACATGGTCCTGCAGATAAAGCCCAGCTGAAAGACTTTGACCGCGTTGTGTCTGTCAATGGACAAAGTGTGGAGCATATGCAGCATGAGCAGGTGGTGGAGGTCATCCGGAAGGGAGGGAATAAGACCACGCTGCTGATATCCGACAAGACGGTTGATGAACTGTACGCCAAGGTGAGAGCAGGCAACAACATCACAAGGATAAAATACGACTGCGATAACCCAACACCAATCACGTGTCAGTTTTTTGAACTTGCTGAATGAATGGGCTGGCAGCACACCTAAAAATGGTATTAAAGCTAGAATTCCTCCTCCCCCAATACTGTTTTAAGGACTTAACTTGTGTGACGCCTCTTGATCCGAACAGCTTCTTCCTTCAGATAGTTTTTCAAAGACCTTCCAGCGCTTGTACCGGTCTCTGATCCACTGTAGACTCCTCGGGTCCCACGGAGTCTGTCATGCGTGCACGTGCCTGGCTGCGCCCATTGAGTGTCAGTGGTGCTCTCATCCAACGATCTGTACTGCGCATGCGCCAGTCCACACTTTTAAACTTGTTAAACAGATTTAACAAAATCAATTGTATCTTTAATAGGACAAATAAAGTTAATTGATAGAGTTTATATACATGTTAAAAGATTTTACTTGTAGGCTGTCACTGCTTGAAAAGTCAAAATTAGCATTCATTTTCAACATATATTTTTTTCAAATTCTCTATTTCAGGCTGGACTCTCACCATTTGTGTATCTAAAAGAATCTAAGGCTTCGCCACAGGCAACAGAAACTCCAAAACCAGTGGAAACGCCCAAACCAGTGGAAACGCCCAAGCCAGTGGAAACGCCCAAGCCAGTGGAAACACCCTTGACTAAACCAGCTCCATCTGCGGTACAGCCGGTGGCAATTCCTTCTCCACAGCCTGCTGCCTCCAGCCCGTCCCCAGACCCTAAACACAAGCCCAGGCTCTGCAAAGTACAGAAAGGGGACAAGGGATATGGATTCAACCTAAACGCAATTAAGGACATACCTGGCCAGTACTTAAAGCAGGTAAATATATAGCGGCTCTGGAGTAAGGCCAAGAAAGGGGTTGACTGGTACATATGCAGACTGAAAGGATTTCTACAAGTTCTGAATGCAAGACCCAGGGTGCCCTTAGCCATACGATGACAGTATCTTTCGCGTGGGTGTCCACCAGGGCAGCTAGCCATCCTCTGTCAGAGGAATAGTTGATCAGACTGGTTAGAAAGCGTATCCTAGTCGTTATTGTTGGCTCTCTGATAAGCCAGTGAAGGTTTTCAGCCCAACGCCCTTCCCCTAAGAGTCACTTCCAAGTTCAGCCAGCCAAGATTACAGGTTTGACCAGCGAAGTCACCCACCTACCCAGTGTCTACAATGCTCTCTAGGTGTTAAATGAGTGCCTCGAACATTCAGCCTGAGATCATTCAAACACAGATTTCTGTCCTACAAGTTAAAGCCCAATTGAACCTTGCTATATGTGCGGAAGCAGTGGTCTCCCTGCAGAGGTGCTGAATCTGAGCTAGAGTTTTCCGATCCAAGTCCAAAACAAAATAAAATGTTGTGGCTTTAAGGTAAACAGGTTGAACTTTCTGACCAATCAAATTATTGACTTTGGTAGGTGACGGTGGGTGGCCCAGCAGCCGTGGCAGGGATTAAAGAAGAAGATGTGTTGGTGGAAGTGAATGGCGTCAACGTAGAGAAGGAAAACTACGATGATGTCATAGTGAGAATTAAAAATGCGGGAGGGTCCGTTACACTTCTGGTGGTTACCAAAGAAGGCAGCGAATACTACAAATCCCAGAAGATCCAGATCACAGCATCCATGGCAGACCCGCTGCCCGAAAATAAAAACACACCAAATGCCAGCCAGAAGACACCGCCAAGCAAAGCAAGATCAGCACCTGAGCCTGTAGAGCTGGTGAGTAAAAGTCCTCTTAAAGCTCAAACCATTAAAAGCACCAATAGGTAGCAGTTTATGGTCATCTATTGTGACTAATGGAGATATGTAGGAATGAGCTTCGGGTTTGGGGTGACCAAGAGTTTGACCTGAACCCAAGCTGATCGCAGATCATTGAATGGGTGAACGATTTTGAACGTTAGTCTGCCCACCAAACCTCCGTCTGTGTTCCGGCAACTAATAATGCTGTGTGGTATGCACAACATCATTGGTTCACTGGTATCTAAGCTTGCAACCTGCAAGAGTTTCAGGCATGCCCACCTTTTCCTGAGGCTGTACATATTGGATTCCTGCAGTCTCTCCAGAACTGGGCACAGTATTCTAAATCAGGTCTAACTAAAGATCTATATAGGGGAATCAGAACCTCCTTCCTCCCACTGGTGATCCTTCTAGTGATAACTAAAGATCTATATAGAGGAATCAAGACCTCCTTCCTCCTGCTGGAGATTCATCTAGAGATAAAGATATGTATAGAGGAATCAGGACTTCCTTTGTCCTGCTGGTGATCCCTCTAATGATACCCAAAGATCTATGTAGAGGAATCAGGATCTTCTTCCTCCTGCTGGGGATCCCTCTAGTGACAATTAAATGTCTATAAAGAGGAATCAGGACCTCCTTCCTCCTGCTGGGGATCCCTCTAGTGATAATTAAAGGTCTATATAGAGGAATCAGGACCTCCTTCCTCCTGCTGGGGATCCCTCTAGTGATAATTAAATGTCTCTATAGATGAATCAGGATCTCTTCCTCCTGCTGGGGATCCCTCTAGTGATAATTAAATGTCTCTATAGATGAATCAGGATCTCTTCCTCCTGCTGGGGATCCCTCTAGTGATAAAAATCTATATAGAGGAAAAAGGACCTCCTTCCTCCTACTGGGGATCCCTCTAGTGATAAAAATCTATATAGAGGAATCAGGATCTCCTTTCTCCTGGCTGCACCAAAAAGTGAACATGATCATTTATAAAGTACAGCAACTTAGAGTCCTGAAGGCATTAGAACACATTGAAAAATAAATTAACTTTTGTTTGAATAAAAAAATGGAAGAGAACCCAGTTATCTGACCTGTCAAAGTCACATGAATGGCTCTACTCCAATCACTGAGCTCTCTTTGCTCCATTGAGCAGACACAACACCGTGGGGCTTCTTCAGCTACACACCAATTTTTATGAATGGGATGGCCTGTGGTGCATTGGATAGCAATATGTGCTATTCGTTATAAATATTTATGTTTCATGTTACATAAACCTGAAAGGAATATCACCCCTATTGCACACCTTTGTGCCATCAGCAAAAAGACATACCTTTCCCACCAAACCTGGGAACTTGCCGGATATGGCAAAGCAAGTCCGACTTTTCGTTTCTGTTACCGGTTCATTACCAGCCCGGCTCAGTTCTCCAGCTTTCTAGTGGCAATGTCACTAACAGGGCTATTCACAAAAGGGTGAAGAGTTTGGAGAATGCATGAGAAGTGGACAACATAGCTGAACTGGAAAGTGAGCTGAATTGGAGAATTTTTCCAAATCAGCTATTTTGGCCTAGATTGTTCACTTCTCCTGCTTTCTCCAAACTCTTCACCCTTTTGTGAATAGACCTGTAAGTGAAGGCATTCTGTTTCTGTGCTGCTGCCATTTTGTTTGTGTTTACATCTCCCCCTGGCTTTGATTAAGTGTTTTACTAGGCAGCAGTGGCGGCACCATTACAATGATTGAAGGATGAGATAATTTTGCTCCTATGCCATCGCCACTGCCTACTGAATGAACAAACATATACAAAGTGATGCTAAGTGACAATAGGCAGCGGCGGCACATATGGCCACAGTGTTGTAATCCAACCCCCCACCCTGCTAGTCTCTGGCTTCGCCACTTCTGAAAGTTCCCAGGTATGGTTATATCACTTATAAAAAATGACAGCTCCCGGCCACCATTTACTATTGGGAGCCAGGGATGGCCTCCTGATCATCTGTGACTGGCTCCTGATCATATAATCAGGAATGTGTCTCCACCTCCCTTCTTTAAAAGGGTCACTGGCAAGGGGCCTAAAAAGAACAGGACATATTACAGAGACTTGTGGTACGCCACTGGTGACTGGTTCCATAAGATCGCCCATTTACAACCACACTCTGCAAGTGTCAGTTATACAAAATGCAGAATATCTACCATGTAATAAGTGACTTATCCAGCTTATGCCTCATCCCTATTACTAATTACCACAAACAACTGTGTTTTCACCTTCTCCAGGAAAATCAGGCCAAGGAAGAGGCGAAACCAGAACCAAAAGAGAACGATGACACAGCCCTGTAAGCTGAGGGAACCGCCATCACCCTTTGTCCATGTTTCCGACAGACAATTGGTTTAAATTATAAAGACTGGAACATCGGATGAAATGATTCAGCGAATCCCACTCTGCCAAAATGGTGATACGCCTCAATAATTTAACATGACCCTTTCATGAAGCAAAACCCCTGTGCGATTAAGCCCTGACGGAAGCTGCCGTTCATTAACTAGTGTGAGGCCTGCTAGTTCTATGGTGGGCAGTAAGGTGTTACTTCACTGCCACACAGCTGGCATGAAGAACGCGTGTTGGGAAAGGAGTGCCTCATTCAGAGTCTAATCTCACAGGTCCTGTACTATGTGACCAATTCCCTTTTATTCCGGAGTTTGCAGTTTACTGATTATCTAACTGCGAAATGAGATGGTTGTGTGATAATTAACTCCTCGCTCTTCATTCCTAGGTAGACCTGCAATAAAATATTTAACTTTATGGCTTGTTTACATCCACGAGTTTGCCATGAGCTTCAACCCAGGCTGCCTTATCAACCACTTATCAGTTCATTAGGAAATTGATGGAGCTGTAAAAGTGCGATTCCTGAGCACGGCGTCTTTGCCATCTGTGGTTTTGAATTATATAGCAGTATATTCAGATAGAAAGTTCAACACATTCCATGCATCTGCTACAGGACGGCTGCAGGACTGCACCTAAAAAGTTGAGGTTTTAGGGTTCGTTCACACCAGCGGCCTAGAGTTATTCTGTGCAGAACCTGACACAGACTCCCAGGGAGTCTGAGCATGCAAAGAATCTGCGTATGCGCAGACATGATGCAGGTCTCTGTCAGGTTCCATAAACTGGCAGAGAACTGTGGCGGTCTGAGCATGTGATCTCACACATTCCATAACAGAAGTCACCATCACTCGATGACATGTGCAAGAAGTAAAGCACTTTTTATTAAATTGTCACATGCATCATACAGCCAACGTTTCAGGGCCACGCAGGACACTGTATCCGACGCGGCGCCATGCGTGTTGTCACTTCAAGCACCAACCTTCCATTAAGGTCTGTACGCTGTATGGAGTGCAGGTGATTTCGTATTATCGGAGATCTCGCACATGTGCAAACATGCCGTGGGTCTCTGCCTGGTCCTGGAGGGAGGAGGTAGGGAGCAAATGATAGGAACTTTGTTTCAGGAATGAAGGTCCGCTTTAACCAACATATCATCTAACTATGTACATCAGGATGTTGCGACACACTGCCGTACATGGTAAAAGTGTTACATGCTGCATTTTTATGCAATGCACTGTATGGTGTGAACAGGGCACATAGACAACAATTGCGTTCCACAGTATGTGTCCTTTCATTGAGTCTGCATTGATCAATGCAGATCAACCAGGATGGTGTGAACAAGTTCTAAGGCACTGCTGTTCTAATGATTGGTCCAAGAGCTTTTGAACCTTTGCCAAGGCACCGTAGGTGATCGGATTTACCTTTGCTGCAGTTAAGTAACACTTGCAGGTCTTGTCTCTCTGCTCTCCTTCTATCAGCATGTTCCTTGTTAGCACATGAGCAATAGCACATAACTGATTGGCTCCTGGTGCTGCTTCTTCGCCTCCAAATCAGAACTCTGCTGTACAGCGAACTGCAAGAGGCCGAAACCAAGACAAATTCAGGTACTTACACTGCTTGTATTTAAAAAATAACACTTTCAATCAATATGAATAAAAACAGGACTGCATTCATGTGTGTGTTTTATACCTGTCTGGAGTTCGGCTTTATAATAGAAGTATAAATTACAATATCCTAGGCTCATTGGCAGCTGGTTGGTTTTGCTTTACTGAGACAAGATCTTGGGTGCATAATGTTATTCACAGAACTATCAATTCTTACTTAGAAATACTTTGTCTTAATTTGGAATTGTCTCTATTGCTTTCTTGTTTCCCTCAATGATAACTCTTCTGACAGGCAGAAGAGGTGTCTATAGATACGAGAGAAGACTTGCCCGATACTGAAATTCATGGTCATATCAAGAAATGTTTGTATGTCCATAGGATTCCTCGTTGCCTGATGGCCAGGCTGCTCTGGGGTGGAGTGCTGCCCCTCCCCCTCTCCATACAAACTTGCATGTCTGTACAATGGTCATTGCATTGCCAGCCATATTGTGAATGCATTTCCTTCTGCTGCAGGTGCTTTAAAGCTGCTTTAGCTGGCATGTAAAGCATGGAGACCTATGTGGTACATCATCCATTTTTGAGAAGCCTCAACAAAGAGCCTTATAGATGTGTGACTCCAATTTTTGGGTTTGCATTTGCCATGGCAATTGGGTGGAAATAAGAACTGTGATGGGGAGATCTCTCCAGTGGAGTCTCTGAGAGATATAAGAAAGCACTTGGAGATACCAGGCAGAATGAAAGTGACACTAAACTCTCTCTGAGCTGTCCATCTTAAACAGTCGACTAAGATGCAATTTCCATCTGCTTGCTGCCATACTTCTGGGACAGGAAGTGAAGGGAAATCTGGGACCGGAAGTGAAGGGTGCTCTGCAGAGGTCAAACACCCGCACACTGCATCAGGGCAAGAACTCATTCCAGTCAACAGGGAGAAGGAACTTTGCTGAAAACTATAGGTCTGAGTCAGAGGAAGGGAGGGGGGGGGTGAGACCTCTCCCGGGAGACTACTGCTTGCACACAGAAAGCAAGGGTCTTTCTTTACAGCTGTGGTAAACCTACAAGTGCTCTCATACATCTGCTTCTGGGAGTCATGGCTGTGGCTGTCACAGTCCTGCAATGGCTTATGGGATTTGTAGTTGCACCACACCTGGAGGGCCAGTGTTGGTCTACCCCTGCTTTACAGCATGCTTACAGGGGACAGTCTTTTCTACTCAGTCTGTGGCTGCTCTCTAAAGAAAATGAACTGGAAAACTTTGCACACCTTTTGTATTCATGCACTTGGAAGGTATTTAAATGAAAGTTCAATTGGGCTTTACCAAGCAAGGCAGCCGGTACTTATGATGGTTCCTGGGGTGAACATTAGAGCCACTCAGCATGTTTTCTGGGCATTTCTCAAACATTCAGGAAGTCTTCCAAATGCTCTCTGAGCTTATTAAGTGCTAGCTAAACATCTAGAAAACATTGCAGACAAATGAGTTGATGACCGGGTGACTTTGCTGGTCAAAACTGTAAGATTGGCTTAGCTGAATTTACACATGACTCCTACGGAGAGGGCATGGGGCTCAGAACTGGCATTGGCTTATCAGAAGGACAATTGTGCTTTCATCTTACAATAAAAAAAGCCTTCATAATCGTTATCTGCCCAACTTCTAGGGCGTCCATTTGCAAATTAAAACAAATAGGTGTTGAAGAGCTTTACATAAAACCTTGGCAGCGTGGGTATCCGTCCAAGACTTAAAGGTTTATAAAAATAACTCAACACCAGTGTTGATGGTTTTTAATAAAAGTTCTGTCATTTTAATGAACAAGATTCAGAATCTAGTCTTCGGTCACAGTGGATAACTCAGATATTGAGGAGGCAATGCTGACTGGATTAGGTGGCGTGTCAGATGTTCCACTGAGTCACTTCTCAAGTTCTTCTAGTCTGGGCAGAAGCCCTGAGCGGCCTCTCAACGTCAAATCGCACCATGACAGAAACAGAAGTCTCTTTATTCAGTCAGTGTTATAAGGCCATGTGTTTCTCTGGGGCCTGCTTGTGTGCCAAGTACAGGAAGAGGATGCTGGACAAGGCGCTGACCAAAAAGATGACATCAAACCAGCGGTGGTAGAAGTTAAACTGAAGCTCTCCCAAGACCTCGGTGATGATGGTGCGATATTCCAAAGGCATACTCATCCGGATCAGGAGGACCGAGGACACAAAGTACATACCCTGCAACAAACAAAAGGGAGATGTTTCAGCTGAGTTGAATGCCAACGTACATTTCTGGTCTTTATGGTGCTTTTGATTATGTAGCCTTCCAAATCTTCGAAGAGGAAACCAAGCTTTTCTTAACTCATTCCATAGCTGCAAACTAAGGGGGCCATTCTCTGGATCATTCAATTCAACACGTAGTTCAGTTCTTTGAATGGCACTTGGTGGGGCTTAGCCATGAAGTCAGGGAAAAAAATCAGGCCTTTGTAGAATTGTAGAATTAAACCAGAAGCACACAAAAGAAGGTTTTCTGCATAGTGAAGGTAATCGCGTCATCTCGTGATATCTCCCTCAGGTTGGACATCACATTTTAAAACTGGACTGCGTGTTCAATTTAATTATCTAGAGAACGACCCTTTAGTTTGCCGCTATGGAAAAAGTTAAAGGAGAAGTATTGGGAGAGGAAAACGTACTCTTTCCAATACTTAAGCCAGCATATGACACTGCAGCTGTTACATGGCGGCTCTATAGATTGAGGACTGAGCGATCACAAACTGCTGATCGCTCAACCCGCCATCTTCTGCATACAATGAGCAGTGAATCTCAGTCAGTGCTCCCTGCGGGGATTCCCCCCCCCCCCCTCGTCTCTCTCCGTTCCTCCAGGGCTTACTAGAGGGATGGACAGGGGAGGGGGCGGGCACAACTGGCTCTGGCTCTGGCTCTAGAGAGGCAGGCCCAGCTGTCAATCAGGCAGCAGGGTGGATCCCAACAATTTCGTCAGAATCTTTCCCGGCTACAGCACGGCTTTGGACTGTCAGCAAATAGTGGGCAGTAGCCCACTATATGCTGAGTTTGGGTCACAGGAGTACATTAGTAAATATACTGTGGGCTTTAGTTCTCTTTTAAGAAAAGCTAGGTTGCATCTTTGAAGATTCAGAAGTCTAAGTCATGTGCTTTGCTCAGTTCAATTGGGGTTTTGCATACCCATGTAAGTCTATAAGAATGCAGTAAGGCAAAGTAAGCTTGAAACATGTCAGTTGTAGGTCAGAAGGAGCTCAACTGCAAGTCAAATGCAGATGAAAAGGAGGTCAAACGTTCACAATTAGGATAGAAGCATATGCACCTGTCAATTAATTCTGAATGATCTCAGAAGAGTCTCAAACTGATGTGACACTAATGTCATCAACACAAGCCCAAAGCCATCAGCGCAGGTCCAAAACATTATTCCCCATGCCTCTTTGGAAGAGACCAAATCTTTGGCCCTGGATCATATGACCAGCACCAGAGGGGAAAACGGCAAGCAATAAAGTAAAAGTTCAGCCATATTATTTGTTCTTCGTTTTGGATGGAGTGGAGAAGGGTTAGAGCCCTTATCAGGTTTCCAATGCTATCCGGGGCTCCATTAGAGAGCAGGAGCCAGAACTGTATCACCTTATTCTTCAACCCCTAAGAAACAATTAACTCCTGCAGTGCAGGAGAGGTTGGGGCTACTGCAAGGGTTCATGACTGAGAAGATATGGGAAAGAGAAAATGGAAGGACTACTGATATAATTCACAGACAGTACAAAAGCAATGTCACTGAATAAGGTCAGCGTGGACACTACATCATACAGTACAGATATCTGATTCTGCACCAAGATGGATTAAAGGGGACAAGATGGCTTTGCTTTTGTAGTCTGTAGCAGGCATTCCAGATCTCAGAGTACATTGTGCTGATCCATTGGGACAGGAGACTCACAATCAAAGTCAATCATTAATAGGAACTGTGCTGATTACCAAGGCAAAGTACAGCACATATCTGCGGAGCAGGGAGCTAGAATATTATCACAAGACACAGCAGTATGGAACAACACAAGAGCATCATAAGGCAGAAGTCCTTGTGACACAACACAGCAAAAGTGTAAAAATGCACCCACATGAAAACAAATAAAAACAATGTGCAATTATTAACTTTTTGCACTGAAACCTGCAAAGCATTGCAACCACAGTCAGTGCATCATGGGTGCAATGCACAGGCTCTTGCATTGTTACCCCCCAGCCCCTCGGTATGGACTTTCTGTTATTAGGCTGGACAAAGTATACAATGGAGTACAAGTGTATCCCTCTGCCTCAATGGTAGATGGGACTTGTATTTAGATTCCTGTAAAGAGATGACGCAAGTGTGCAAACAGAACCATGCAGAGATACTCTAAATTCAAACAGCGCATCTCTGCCAGGATAAGCACACTGCTATTCGCGTTAGTAAGGGTAAAGGGGTTTGAGGGTTGGGGAATGCGACCAAGGTTCATGTTATACCCAGAGTATGGGGGTAACATGAAACATGGTAGACATGCCTTTAACACATCTAGTACACATCCACCCTACCACTAGAGGGCTCCTTCCTATGCCCCGGACAGTCTGTTCGTTGTGCCTTGCTTACCTAAGATCATAATATTAAGCACAAAAGAAGCAAATTGCTGCATTACCCTGGAAATAAATGTTATGTCTTTATCAGTCACAAGATAACACCAGGATCCTGATTGGGTCAGCTAGATCAATTCACACATATGTACCGTATACTATGTTTTATATATATATATATATGTCACACTGAGAAGCATGTGTTAACACACATCAGACAAGCAATAATCTGGACAGGCAACTTATAGCGTCCATTTAAACATTCATGGCCAACAGATGGCACACACACAGAACACTTACCATAATCTGAGCCAGAAGCAGGACGATCACATTGGAGGACTTACTGCTAGAGATGGCGTAGAAGAACTGCAAAGAAAACCAAAACTGCTGTGAGTCTTATGTGGCGTCTTATGTGTAGGTCTCTGTACAGGGGGAATGTGGAGAGCTGGCATCTTCTGGGGAACGAACAGGCAGCTCTGAAGCCAGGGACCACCATTCCCCATTTGCAATATATTTCCTGAGCCTGTTCCATTGTTATTCCAAAGGACCATTTAAAGTGTACAGGTGAGCATATGAATATGAAGCCCGCCATTGATGACCTGTTTGTACATACTCTGAGAATGACATGCCAAGGCACATTTCACTAAAAGAGTCACTGGTCTGAAATAAGCATGTGAGACAGGGGTTCAGATTTGGTAGAAGTCACTGGCTGCATGATTGCTCCAGTCAGTGTCTCACTAATTAAAGAAGAACTCTTGGGCAAAAATGCTTAACCCATGCAGTGGGGCTACCCCCGCACTACAAGGGTTAAGTGATCTTTTTTGTCTAGAAAAATAAAAAAGGTATTCTTGGAGTCGGCTTGCTCTTAGGGCCGGTGCACACCTATGCGACACCCCAACGCGCGGCAATGATGCACGATTGCCCGCGCATTGACGCGCGGTCAGGAGTCATATAGGTGTGCACCGATTGCACTGTGGGTGCCATTATTTTCCAATGGCACCCCAGTCGCACCGGGCAGATCGCGCGGTTTCCCGCAGCAATTCCGCCCGTGCTTCTGAACACAATCGCGGCTAAAACATCTGCGCGTCGCGTATCGCAGAAAAAACGTACAAGTAAAATAATGGCACCCACAGCGCGATCGGTGCACACCTAGACGACTTCTGACTGTGCTCTGGAGTGTCGCATAAGTGTGCACCGGTCCTAAGACCGGACCCTTGCACCTCGCTCCCCCTCCACTGCAGCGGTCTAAGGTCCGTGAGTCATTACGTTCTATACACAGTGTCAGGACGCCGGGGGACATGCAGCGCTGCACCAGGAGAGGCGACAGGCTGGAGGGATTCCGGTCACAGCTGGGAGGATCCAATTCAGGTGACTATAACTTTATTATTTTTGTCCCTAGATGAAAACGAGCATTATCCCTTACAGTGTGGGGATAAGTGGGGGAGTTCTTCTTTAATATTTACAGGCAGGGTAATAAAATTCCATCTTGAACACACAATCAGCTGTGAAAAACGTCAGCTCTGGCGCACCGCCTATCACAAGCCATAAAAGATAACGCTGGATCCCAAAACGGTGGCCTTGATCGGTCTTTTCCAATGCTGAAGACTGATAAAGATGATGACGTTCACAGGTCCTCATAAACTTTGAAGTGTAACCGGCACTCACCTAGAGTGGGGACCGGAATGTGATTATATTATAATAATACAGAGCACCTCTCTCATTTCCTCTATATATAGATTGTTACGATGAGTTGTTAGAATCTGGAATAGATTTCCACGGGAGTTAGTTCTAGCCAAGAAAACCCCCCAAAAAACCGGATGTGTTTTTAAAAAGGCACAAAATATAGCCGACTATTACAGCAGAACGTCTGGGAAACATCTTCTTAACCCTTGTTGTAGGGCTACCCCGGCACTGCAAGGGTTAAGTGCTTGTTTTGGTCTAGGGAGGAAAATAACAAATGTATACTCACTGCGATCCACGGAGCCGGCTTTCTCTTAGACCGATCCCTTTCGCCTCGCTCCCCCTCTGCTGCAGCGGTCTAAGGTCCCCGAGTCATCGCATTGTATACGCAGTGTATAGAAGGAGGAGACAGGCAGAAGGGACTGGTCTAAAAGCAAGCCATCTTCAGAGGTTCGGGTGAGTATAGCTTTGTTATTGTCACCCGTACACCAATATGGGCACTTAACCCTTGCAGTGCGGGGGTAGCCCCAATGCAAGGTGAAGACATTTTTTCTGCGGAGTTGTGCTTTAAGACTGTTAATTAATCACACACAGAGATTGTTGATCCAGGGAATATCCGATCACCTTAGGCCTTGTTCACACCAAGCGCGGAGCAGGTCAGTTGCAGACCGGATCAAAACTGCGTCCAATGTATTCCAATTGTACTTTTTTGCTCCAGTTCACTTCGCAGCGTGCAGTTCCAGAGCAGGTGAAAAAACTGCAGCAGGCCCTATTTTACCTGCTCTGGATCTGATAACGCATCAAAAATGCATGCAGATGCCTGGAACGCACTGAAAGCCCATTTTACACTTTAAAAGAAAAAAAATTGCGCGTCAAAAACGCATCTAAAAGACTAGCGTGCGTGTGCAGAAACCTGACCGGATCTGCTCTGCATTTGGTGTGAACAAGGCCTTAGGGTCACCATACATGTTCCAATCTAACTGGACAATCTACTTTGGATTCACCAAAACTATGTCATACAAGGACCTACCTGATCTATCCAATCAATCAGGCAAGCCTTTGATCTACACAGTTGTTGGTAGATCTAAAGGCCATTGTACAATCAGATTGTAATGTGTGCGATAAGCTTTTGGCGCAAATTGGGCCATGCTTTATAAGGTTTTATTTGTATTCCTCTGGATCAGCTCCGGGTTTAGGATTCGGAGGATGCAGGTTCTCGATTATTTTATTCTTCAGTTTTAACTCGATGGACATGTATCTTTTTTAAGTCTATGTAACCCTACTCCCTTCCAAAACCCAAATAGGATTTGATGGGGATGATCCTTTAAATTGTTTTCATTCAAAAAAAATTAAAGTGAGTCTGTACTTGCAGGAGAAAGAGCCTCTCTCCCCCTCCCCCGATACATTTCCCTTGCTCCCACATGGCCGTTCCCCCCACCAGAGCACAGAGACATATCCCCCAACCACATACCTCCAACATGGGTATGGTGGGCCATGTGAATTTTGCAGCATTCGTCCACTGTGCAATGTTGGAGAAGAAGTAGCCAATTGCAAGGCCTCATTGCTGTCACATGGGAGAGGGGGCAGAGCCTTAGACCAGTGTAAGCCCTGAACAATGAGGCGTGGAAAGTACATGAGTTGTATTCATTTGGCTTTAGCTGATTAGGGAATGCAAAGGTACGTATCAGTGTTTAGGGGGGCTGGGATTGCGGGCTAGCAAGTGAGCCTGTTAGTTTGCCCAAAATGGTAAAGTAACAAGTTCACAAAAGAAGAAAATATCATCATACAGCCACACCACCTCCAAAATGTAGAGGTCAACCTGCCTTTACATGGCTATGGATCCCTTCAGTGACCCCCAATATCCTCATATTTCCGGAGGTGCATTATGGGAGTCATGCAGCCTGTTGCGGTACCTTGGTGAGTGTGATCAGCAGTCCTCGGATTGAGGTGACAATGATGATTCCCACCAGAATGAAGGAGATGTGCTGAGACCAGAACTTCACCTGAGCAAGACAAGAACAACAAAATCAGAGATAAGGTATATATTTAATTCATGTATATAGCACCTAAGCATATGACACAGCTGGTTAGATGGGGGGACAATCTCCTTCCTGTAGGCCACAGGCTGCTTTCTGTGGAATTGGTCTAGGAAGGAAGAAGAGTCATCCCCGGTCCTTTTGATATATGGGGAAAGTAGAGAGGTACCGTGTTTCCTCGAAAATAAGACAGTGTCTTATTTATTTTTTTTGCACAAAATAAGACACTAGGTCTTATTTTCGGGGGATGTCTTACCTGGCTGCAGCTGTGCTCTGAGGAACCCGGGGTTTGTCCTATCAGTATTACTATCCAATAGTATTGCAGTGGTGTTTATATAGGGCGTCTGGTTTCTGGGCTGGCAGCTTCTATACATCAATGGACTCCCATAGTGTCTTTGGGCTATAGTGCAAAAGAATAGATCCAAGATTGAAGCACTACATGAGAAATTGACTGTCCAGATACCATTTTATTCCAATGTAAGGTGAGGAAGAAGATGAGATAGGAAAGCCAACACATTTCAAGGGCCCAAACTCACCTCCTTCAGCAGGGCTACGAAAACACAACAAAGGAATACATCAATGAAAAGAATGTGTATAGTTTCACATTGGACATGCATACAATAACATTTGATACAGAAGTGACAATTGCTATGTTAAAGGAGAACTATGGGGTCAGGGCTTTTCCCCATAGTTCTCCTAAGGGTAACTGGAGGACACAAACTAGCGTCCTCCCGTCACCCAAAGCTCAGTATTCCGCGAGCTACAGCTCGCGGTATACTGAGACACCGCAGCAGAAACGGATCCCGACAATTATGTCCTGATCCGCCCAGCTGCGTGAGTGACAGCTGGTTCTGCCTATCTAGAGGCAGAGCCAGCTGTACCCGCCCCCTCCCCCGTCCGTTCAGCCAGTCAGCGCTGGCGGAGCAGGGAGGGGGGAATCCAGCCCCTCACCTGTCACAGCTCTCTGCAGTAACAGGATTGAGAAGTGAGTGAACGCCGGTATGTGTTCGCTCACCTCCCGATCTACTACTGAGCCGACCTGTGACAGTCTCATTGTCCCAGGTTGGCTAGAACTATGAGGTGAGTGAAAATCACTCACCTCATAGTTCTCCTTTAAAAAACTATTATCAGTACTGCAATGTTTATCCCCCTGAAATGCGTTGGATTCATTTGATCTTTTACCTGACCTTACATTGGAATAAAATTGTATGTGGACTATTAATTTGTGGTGTGGTGCTTCAATCTTAAAACCAATCTATGCTATAGGCCAGGGGCGCCCACTATTTTTCATCTGGAGATCTACTTTTCAAATGACGAGCTCATTGAGATCTACCAACGAAAAAACACCTGCATTCAGGGGCGGGAGGGGGCGTAGGCTGCGCAGGCAGGCCCCTCGCCCACAGTGCGATCGCCTGCATTAGTGCCTGTGTTCCAGTCCAGTGCGAAAAGCGGCGGGAGGAGAGGACATGGCGATCTACCAGTGATCGCTACGCGATCACTGGTAGATCGCGATCGACCTTGTGGGCACCCCTGCTATAGGCAGTGCCAGCAGTGACTTCCAACACTACTCATCTCATCCCCTCTCTATGCTCATGAACAAGATTGTTTCACAGAGTGGGATGTGCCTGATGGAACCGCCGGCCAATCCCTCTCTCTAAAGGGAGTGGGATCAAACATTCATGTCTGGCCACCCTTTTCGGTCTTTAGACAAAGATCATCTTACATCGAATTGTATGCCCAGGTAATTCACAGTGATCTCGATGCCTCTGGTCACGGGGTCGGTCTTTCCAACTCTGTCAAATACGATGTTGATTGTAGCCTGCAATTATATGAAGGAAAGACAGAATGTATGAGGAGCACTTCCGGGAAGGGCGTGTTGTAGGCGACCCACAGACATAGGACAAAGCTCACCAGATCTGTACAATCATTTTCATGAACAAGTGGGATGAGCATATGGAAGGTAAACACAGACTCTTTACAATGCATGCTATCAAGAGCGTTTATTACTTTGCCCTGAATGGTACAGGATCACTTCAAAGTAAACCTGTTGCTAAAATAAAATAAAAATAAATGGATAAAAAAGCCACCCTTGAACAGAAAAGCAATGATACTTACCAGTCCAGTCCTGACCCCAATTGCTGCTCTCTTGCAGAGCAATCTCCAGCTTCCAACACTTGCAGGTGTGCCTGATGCCCACATCCCCACTGCGTCCCCTGCAGAGCCGCACTGACGTAGCAGCTGGAAGGTGCAACCCCAGCGCGCAACGGGGAATTTGGGCAATTGACATTACTGGAAGTGTCGGAGGCTGAAGATTCTTATGCAAAGTTCTGCAAAAGATCAGAGTCACCGGGGTGGGGCTGGTACATATAGATTCTCTTTATTTATTTCTTTTTTAACTACACTTAGAAGAATTCCCATGAGCAATGCAAACCTAACGGCTAGTATAGTGATTCATTTAGAAGTACTTATCTTTTCTTATGTAAAGAATGAGGTCTATTTATAAATCTTTCTCCCAGCCATACGCTGGTGAAATGCCATGCACGTGGCATCCTTGCCACTAGATGGAGGAAATAGGAAATCCCTATGCTCCTTGGCTCCATTTAGTACCGGGAATGGCCACGTATGGCTGGGCGGAAGGTTTATAAGTAGCCCGCTGATTGTGATTCTGATGGAAACCCATTCTCTTTCTCTCCCATGCCATCAACCCAATTTGTAGGTGTTCCTGTTCGCTCAGACAGAGCTCTGTTAAGGTGCCCATACACTGTACGATTATCGTATGAGAATCGCAGGAAATCCCGCGATCGTACGATAATCGCAAAGTGTATGGAAGGTGTGCGACCGTTTCTACTGTACGGTCGCACGTCTTCCGTCAAACAAGCAGGCTTGAAAACCTGCCGAGAATCGTACCATATGATTAGTGGCCGGCATGTTCGACTACTGCTGAACGGGCCGGTGTGCGCACGAGCACACTCCCCGTTTGCAGTCATCGGAAGCCCGCCCCTCATTACAGTCATCGGAAGCCCGCCCCTCAGGGGGGCGGGCTTGCGATGATTGCAAGTACGATCTGCCTGTCCAAGATGGGCAGATCGTACGAGCTTTTAATTAGCTTACAACCAGCGCAAGACAGAAGTCTTGCGCTGGTTGTAAGGTGTATGGGCACCTTTACTCCCACCCCCTTTGCTGTGACCACGCATCTCAGGTAAACAGATGTTTCCGCAGCCTATACCCTGGCAGTCTAGCCTACACCCTCTCCCACTGCATGCCTATGACAGCACTTATCCTGAGCAAGCGCCTTGTGCAGAGTCAAGTGCTGTCAATCCAAACTGAGTACCTATTCCTCTTTTTGAAAGCAGCATGGTCGAACGGCGGTGGGGGGATGGGGGAGCACTGTCAACCATATTAGCTCAGCAGCCAGACCACCTAGAAAAACGGGACAAAGTGCTACACGTACTTTGGACTCTGGGAGGCAAGAAGAACTACAGATAAGTTTGATGAGACTTCTTCAAGGCAAAAAAAATACATAAAAAAAATTTCTTGACAGAAACTTCAAGTTGCGTGAATTTTCTGGCAAGCTTTTCCAAACTAACGTGGGGCTCAAAACTCACAGATATATGGAGATTATTATCTTATGGATATCTTCAGTCATTCCAATGAATCTGTGGCAAAAAAATATTGCTAGGCTTAAATCGATATTCTGATTGGAAAAAGGAAGAACAAAGTTCAGAGAATGTTACACGCAGGGCAACACGGAATCCATCTTACCATAAATATCTTCCACACACAGTAAATGGAGAAGAAGTAGCCCAGGAAATTGAAGTATTTGCCTTGGAAGGTTTTGGAATATTCAATCCTCTCCTAGAAAAAGACGTGAATAGACACAGGTGAGCAAACCTCCAGAACATCCTCCAATCCAGAGCAGAGCTGGATATTTCGTGGGTTGGGACGACACCTTATATTTTTTAGACATTTATTTGGTTGTTAACATGTTCATAAAAGTAAAAAAAAAAAAAAACCGCTTGAAGACCAGGTGTTTAGACCCCCTTCCTGGCCAGGCCATTTTTCAGTATTCAGCGCTGCGATACTTTGACTGACATTTATTCCGTCATGCAACGCTGTACTGAAATTGATTTTATACCATTTTTTGGGGACAGATAGAGCTTTCTTTTGGTGGTATGTAATCACCACTGGGGGTTTTATTTTTTACTATATTCAGGAGAAATTACTGAAAACTTTGAAAAAAAAAAAGTTTTTTTTTACATTATGTTATAAAACAACTAATATTACCCAGTTTTTTGGTAAAATATAAAAGATCGGGTCACGTTGGGTAAATAGACACCAAACATGTCAAGCTTAAAAATTGTGCGCACTCGCGAAATTGCAAAAAAATAGCATACCCAAAATTGGCCATAGGTGACGCTTTAAAAGCTTTTACCGCTCATCAGTTTGCTGTTATCAGTAATTGATGGCCCTAAAATTATTGCTCTCACTGCGACGTTCGCGCCGATATGTAACATGTGCGGCGTAATGGGCGCAATGGTCGTTTCCGCAGGTATGCGCACCTGACGCATGTTTACATGCGTGTATGTAGGGGTGGGGACTTTAAAAAAATTGTTTTTTTAAATTCTTTTTTATGTGTAACTTAAAAAAAAGATTTTGGGGAAACTTTACATTGTTTTCCTTTTTTTTTTCTTCACTTAACTTTATTGCTATCACAGAGGGGGCTAAGAAACCCCCCTATGTGATAGAAAAATAAGTGATAGGTCCTCTTTATGGAGACATCAGGGGTCTCCAAGACCCCTAATGTCACCTAGGACCCCTCTGAAGAAGCTGATCTGCTTCATCAGCTTCTCTCCAGCATCTGAAGCTGGAGAGTGACACGAGAATGCGGAAGTGATGTAATATACACCAGTTCCGCATTCTGACAGCGGAGAGGGGACCGGAGGGAGCTCGTGAACCGACCTCCCTCTGATCCCGTTACAGAGGCACTGTGCTGGTCCCGGGCTCGCACCGGGCACAGCGGAGCCGGGGATCAGCGGGAGGGGGCGCACATACCGGGACCCCATACAAGCGATCCGCCGGCTCGATCGCTTGTATGTTGACAGGCATCGCTGCCGGTTTTTAAATTATGTGTCTTTCCCGCAGTGGGCGGGACTAACAGGACGTGTATACATGCCCAGTTACATCCAAGAAGCTCCCGACCGGCCGTGTATACACAACGGCCGGCCGGGAGGCAGTTAAAGGGCAAGTTTACTTTCATCACAAATAACCGGATTAGCCTCCTGAGCCCCATCCTCAACAAAAAGAAAACACACAGACCTCGGACAAATTGTCAGAATTTTTAACTGACCAGCCAGCCTAGATTCATACAGATAGTGTCTTGACCGGGATTTGAACCAGGGACCCTCAGTGCTGCAAGGCAGAAGTGCTAAGCCCTCACCATTGTGCTGTCCATTCTTCAGGGCTTTAATAAAGATTGGTAATACAATCCGGATGAAATAAAGAAAGCCTGAACCGAGGTGAACTTGCCCTAAGGTCAATGTAAAAAGCTGGCTGAATTCCTTTGAATCCATTGAGTTGTATGGAGAGAGAAGGAGTTCTGACATGAACAGAAGCTCATCAATGCAGGACCTAACAAGCACTTTCATGCTCCATATGAATGACTTGAATGTATGGCTAGGCACTTTTTTTCTTAGTTTTGGATACAATTGGGGAGGTTATTTACTGTAGTAGGTGGCCTTGTTAGAGAGATGTCCCCTCATTTCCTGCCCTGCTGACATCATTTTACCAGACAGGAAGTTAAGGGAAGTCTCCAACAGCAATACAGACAGACGTAGGTGAAGGATAGAACCCGTCAGATTTGTATTCCTGTCTGAATTCCTGAAGAGGCGAAGGGGAATATCCCCAAGAGCCCCAGATAGCAGTAAAACCTGAGAAGAGCACTAATCCTTCCCAACTTTATCCAAAACTAGAAACAATGTTTTTGGCTGAGCATACACTGTAAAAGTTTTGCTTAATGCATTCAAATGGATATAAGTTTTTCTAAGAAAACACATGTGCTTCTGAACACATGCAGTACAAATAAGCTATTACTTCCTGCCCATGGAGTTCACTTGTGACACCCTCTCACTGGGACAGGATGTGAGGTTCAATCTCCTCAATGGAGACACAGCGGCAAATATTTCAAAGATTCTAAACCCTTTTCACCTTTGCGTAACACTATTAGAAAAATGAGTACAGTCCCGGCTTTTCTTTATAAAATACAGCCAAGTGGCATGTTGTTAAAATGTAAATGGATTCCATTCAAGATGTCCCCAAAAAACACTACAGTCTTGTTGGATATACTTATATTGATAGTGGGATGGCATGTTTCTTAAAGGGTTCTTCTCACCTTAGTGGCGTGCAGGTCCACGGTCTCCAGAAAAAGCTGCCGGCTCAGTTCCTCCAGAGCGTCCACCTCCTGCTGGATCTGAGAGAGGTCTATGGCCGGAGTTAAGGAAGCAGCAACACAAAAGGACTTGGGAACTGTCTGATTTGCCCTCCAACAACCAACCACATCCAAACATTCATGTTCTAGCTACCACTTTTCAGTGCAAGTTCCATCCAGTAGCTGTTTAGGTCAGCTTAGACCCCTGGTGCCCAACCTACAGACCAGAGCTGCATGAAACAGGAAGGTACTTGTGTGGTCCTCAGACCCTAGCAGTCAGTTGTGGGGTCACTGATTTGTAAAGGGGTAATAGCAATCTTCTCTACTAGCTTCTTGTAATATATTCCCTGTCTATCACTGTCTTCTACAGCATGTCTACAGTCCCTAGGCATCATTTCCTCTAGTATGTCCACAGTCTACGACTATCGTTTCCTCTAATAAGTCCGCAATCTCTGACTATCATTTCCTCAAGGAAGTCTGCACTCTGTGACCACCATTTCCTCTAATATGTATGTGGTCTCTGACGATCAGTCCTTTAAAATGGACCCCCTTGAGAAAAATGAATTATTAACCCTTGCAATGTAGCAGGAGCCTCACTGCAGTGGTAGTTTTTTCTCTTTTGTTTTTAAACTAGGGATGGGTTTGAAGTTTGCATTAAAGGAGAACTATGAGGCTAGTGAAAATCAGCCTCACAGTTCTAGCCGACCTGTGACAATGAAACTGTCACAGGTCGGCTCAATAGATCGGGAAGTGAGCGAACACATAGCGTCGCTCGCTCACTTCTCGATCCTGTCCCTGCAGAGAGAGCTGACTGTTACTCACGGCTCCCTGCAGGGATTCCCCCCCTCCCCTGTCCTATCCTCCAGCGCTGACTGGCGGAACGGACGGGGAGGCTACAGCTTGCTCTGCCATTAGATAGGCAGAGCCAGCTGTCACTCACGCAGCTGGGTGGATCCAGACAGTAATGTTGGGATCCGTCCCGGCTGTGGTGTCTCAGTATACCGCGAGCTGTAGATCGCGGTATACTGAACTTTGGGTGACGGGAGGACGCTAGTTTGTGTCCTCCCGTTACCCTTAGGAGAACTATGGGGAAAAGCCTTAACCCCATAGTTCTCCTTTAATGCTGAAATATATTTGATGTCTGAGCCACCTCCCAGATATAACCAGCAGCCAGACTAGTGACATCTTAGGATACTTTCACTGCCAGGAGCTGAAGATGTGACACTCTTTATCATCCCCCAGATTCCACCAGGGCGGATGTGCTCCTCTCCTTTCTGGAACATATTCCTTCGCACCATCGCTATCCTGCAAAGACAGATACTGTTATCATACAAACCAAAACCCCTATTAAAGTGATCAGTATGTGCAATAGATTTGTCATTGTATAGTCAATGAAGTCCACTAAGTACTGTCTGCAGGTGAACTGGCCATAAACCCACCTTCCAGCATCATTTTACAAAACTGACATCTTTATCTATGCAAGCAAAAATATTAGCGCGCGTTCTCTATCTCCCAATCAGCTAAATAAATTATATGCGTGCCAAAACCAAAGGTATACAAAGTCTTACAGTTCATTTTTTTTAGAAAGCAGACACAGCTGAACTAGAAAAGCCTGTCCCCTGCCAGCATGTTGTAGGGTTGGTCCCTTGCACTCTGTGTGGAAGCAGTGGTCTCTCTGCAGGGGCCGGAATGGTGGCAATACAGTTAGAAACACTGAAGTGGGGACCTTGACACCCCAACAGACACAGGAAGCCAGCAAGTTACTCAGCATATCAGACTGCAATTACATTATGTGGCTACAAGTTTGTAGACAACTGATCATGACACCTATATAAGCTTGTTGGGCATCCCATTACAAAACCAATAAAATATTATTATTATTATTATTATTATTATTATACAGGGTTTATATAGCGCAAACAGTTTGTGCAACGCTTTACAATATAGGGAAGACATTACAATTTCAGTATAAGTCTAGACAAGATGGTAAGGAGGGCCCTGCCCCTGAGGGCTTACAATCTAAAAGGGAGGGGCAAGTGATACATGAGGAGGTAGCTGTGTGGGGATGAATTGTTTAAGAAAGTGATGGTTGAGTGGTTAGGTTGAGGTGGGAAAGGCTTTGCTGAAGAGATGAGTCTTTAGGGATCGCCTAAAGGCAGTCAGAGTGGGAGACAGACGGACCGGTTGGGGTAGAGAGTTCCATAGGATGGGAGGGACTCTAGTGAAGTCCTGGAGGCGAGCATGGGAGGAGTTGACAAGGGAGCTGGAGAGCAGGAGGTCTTTTGAAGAGCGGAGGAGACGGTTAGGGTGATACTTTGAGACCAGGTTTGAGATATATCCGGGGGCAGAGTTGTGAATGGCTTTGTAAGTGGTTGTTAATATTTAGAATTTTATCCTTTGGGCTATTGGAAGCCAATATCTCATCTGGAAAGGGGTTCCCAAAGGTGTGGCTGTGGGAATTTTGGCCCATTTAGCCAAAGGAACATTTGTGAGGTTAGGTATTGATGATGGATGAGAAGACCAGGCTCACAATCAGCATTTCAATTCATCCCAAAGGTGTTCAGTAAGGTTGAGGTCGGGGTTCTGTACAGGTCTATATTGTTCCTCCACACCAAACTCATCCAACCATGTCTTTATGGAGCTGGCTTTGTGCGCAGGGGACCTTCACCATGCTGCTGCCTCAAGGTTGCACAAGCACAACTACCTAACATGGCTTTGTATGCTGTAGTACTAACAGTACCCTTCACTGGAAACACCATTTGGGGGGAGTCCACATACTTTAGCCTATATAGTAGGTGAGCTGGTCAGGTGTCCCTAAATTTTAGGCCATGCAGTGTATAAATCATCCCTTTAGGGTGGACTGACCCTGTGGGAAACAGGAACAAACATGTCAAACTGATACAAAAAAACCCTATACAACAAATATTATATAACTGAGATTGCTGGAAAACTAAAATTAAATGTTTAATTTGAGTTAATGAATTCATCATGGAAAAGGGAAGCAGACACCAGTGCAATCCCATTATAAAGAAAACAAATGATAAGTGGATTATTAATAACAGCAGCTGCAGCTTGGTACATAACACATGACAGGTAAGATCGGGCACACAGCCAGCGCTGCTCACTTGATTCCATTGAAGTGGGACTCTAATTTATGAGAATAATATAAAAGGAGAAAATCCAGAAACAACATACACTATATTGCCAAAAGTATTGGGACACCTCCCAAATCATTGGGTTCAGGTGTTCTGTGAAATTTTCTTGCTACTAAATATTCCGCGGTCACCTGTTAGTGGTATTATAACAAAGTGGAAGCAACTGGGAACAACAGCAACTCAGCCACGAAGTGGTAGGCCGCGTAAATTGACAGAGCGCGGTCGGCGCATGCTGAAGCGCACAGTGCGCAGAAGTCGCCAACTGTCTGCAGAGTCAATAGCTACAGACCTCCACGGAACTTGACTGGCCTGTACAGAGTCCTTAACTCAACCCGATAGAACACCTTTGGAATGAATTAGAGCGGAGACTGCGAGCCCGGCCTTCTGATCCAACAGTACCTGATCTCACAAATGGTCCAACATCCCCATAGACACACTTCTAAACCTTGTGGACGCCTTCCCAGAAGAGTTAAAGCTGTTATAGCGGCAAAGGGCGGAGCCAACTCAATATGGAACCCTACGGACTAAGACTGGGATGCCATTAAAATTAATGTGAGTGTAAAGGCAGGCGTCCCAATACTTTTGGAAATATAGTGTTTCTCTTTGTGGGGAAAGAAAACTAATTATGATGTCCATACATGCATGGAGGATTTTATCAACTCATCTATCCTCCTCGGTATGCCATGGCTGCCATTGGCATGTGGGGAGGGAGGGGTGAACACAGGCATGGAACACTAACCAGTAACTCCCCAAGGTCCTAAAAACAGGGCGTACACAGACCACCAGTTATACTGGGTTCCTGCAGATTAGCTAATCATCAACCCTGACACAACTGTGAGTGCTGAATGTCAGGTGCTGAACCTTCCAGTCCAGGTTCTAGCATAGAGCATACAGTGAAGGGCAGCAGGCCGCTTATTTTACACCTCGTCCATTCAGAAAACATCTTGTATTCTTTTTAGGTGGTACAAGATGTTCTGTGATTGGATCCGGGGTTGTTTGTTATGTTCATCTGCCATCCAAAGAACGCCTTGCGATCTGTAAAAAGAGTAAAAGATGTTTTCTGAATGGACCAGCTGTCCTTCATTGTATGTACTAGAGCTGGGACTGTATGTTGTAATGGCTGGAAATCCCATCAGAGAGACATACAGAGAGACATATAGTGTTGGGAGGATGCATATCCTACTAGATATGCATCCTCCCAACACTCAAATCTCCTGCAGGGGTGACTGTATCCTACTAGATATGTATCCTCCCAGCCCTCAATCTTCTGCAGGGGTGATTGTATCCTACTAGATATGTATCCTCCCAGCCCTGTCTTCTGCAGGGGTGACTGTATCCTACTAGATATGTATCCTCCCAGCCCTCAGTCTTCTGCAGGGGTGGCGGCATCCTATTTGATATGAAACCTCTCAGCCCCCAATCCTCTGCAGGGGTGGTGGTATCCTACTACATATGAAACCTCTCAGCCCCCAATCCTCTGCAGGGGTGGTGGTATCCTACTAGATATGAAACCTCTCAGCCCCCAATCCTCTGCAGGGGTGGTGGTATCCTACTAGATATGAAACCTCTCAGCCCCCAATCCTCTGCAGGGGTGGTGACATCCTACTAGATTTGCATCCTCTCAGCCCTCAATCTCCTGTAGGGGTGGCGGCATCCTACTTGATCTGCATCCCTCCAGGCCCTCAATCTTCTGCAGGGGTGGCGGCGTCCTACTAGACATGTATCCTCCCAGCCCTCAACCTTCTACAGGGATGGCGGTATCCTACTAGAAATGCGTCCTCCCAACCCCCAATCTTCTGCAGGAGTGAACATTGTGCTCATCTGCACAGCTATGGAGCTGCAGGCTCTCTGTCTATCCCTCCCCCCGCCCCGCAGGGTTTGCTTCTGTTAAACTTTTCAAATAACGGTTTTAAAGGAAATTCCGAACAGTCAACATAACATTTTTTTAGGACTTTAATTGCCTTAAGATAAAGCTGTATACAATGTAACAGAACTGCAATAAAAGTAAAATGTATCAAGAAGGTGTGCAAATTCTTTGGATGTGAAGTCTTAAGTGTTTCTTATATAATGTTAGTCTGTAAATCCGGTGAGAACACTTATCTTTGTTAGATACAGAATGAGTAAGAAGGAGAAAGATAAGATATACGAACAGTAACCTTTGCTATGGAGATATCAGTATCTCAGACTTCAGTATCAAAGTTCCAACCCGACGAGTACAGAATGGAATGGAAAGACGATAGCAAATGGAAGAATATCACCAACACAGGACTTTACAAATGCAGAATAAAACTTCCTGCTGTTCTGACCACAAATTTGGAGTTATTATTCCAGTACTTACCTCAAAGTCATTTATCAGGTCACTTTTCCATTTTTTTTTTTGCATGATTGCCCTTCTGTTTTTAGTCCCACTCCAGGTTTTAGACCATATTTAGGGAGTAACATGAAGCATGGTGGCATCCATAACCTCCCAATTCCAAACTGTTCCATCCCCCCTCCCCTTCCAAAATTACATTTTCTGATTGCAGAGCCATATGTGTTATTCAGTGGGACCCCACTTCAAAGGTTAGGATTTGATTTGCCCAGAGTTCTGCTTTAACAGTTCCTTTCATTGGAAACACCTGAACCCAATAATCAGTACCTGGCTGCATGGCTAACATTAGTAATGAGTCTGCAGGATAAGGAATGGCCTGTATAAGGTACGGTGTGCTGCTGCCCTCTAGAGGACGTTTGGTATTACCTCTTCTTCTTGCTGACAATCATGTCCATGGTTTGTAGCAATCGTCTTTCTAGGGCCTGAATGTCGGCTTCTGTCACATTCCTCAAAAAAAAAAAAAACAGAACTATAGTAAATCTTTTAATTGTACCAATAAGTTTCTTTTCAGGTTTCACGTGTGTGTAAGCAGCTGCATTGATCTGGACTGATAAACATTTTTCACAATCACTCCTGGTGTGAGCACAGTGAGCACACAATATCCGCATTGTATTTCTGAGGATGTGATGCGGACACTGAAAAGTTTCCCAGCATGCAACAGAGACTCCTGGTTGGCTCTGAATTGTCACAGATTAAAATGTATGTAAAGACTAGGGATGCACCGATACCGATGCTAGTATTGGTATCTGTGCCGATACCGAGTATTTGGGCGAGTGCTCGTACTCACCAAATGCTCCGATACCTTCCCTTATAATGGAGACTTCCGGTTAGAGGAAGATTTCCAGTGCCGTAAGGGAACATGGAGCCGACTTCCTGGGCAATCAAGAAGCCGAACAGCCAACTCCTTGCTGATTGGCTGGGAAGCCAGCCTCCTGGCCAATCAGCATCGAGCCGGCTGAACAACTGGCTTGATGCTGATTGGCTGGAAAGTCAGCTTCCCAGCCAATCAGCATGGAGCCGACTTCCCGGACATTCAGGAAGCTGGAAGGCGGTTCATTATTTGCCACCCGGCTTCCTGATTGGCCGAGAAGCCGGCTGGGTGCTGATTGGCTGGATTCAAACCGGCCAAACAACAACACGGAGCCGGCTTCCCAGGCAATCAGGAAGCCAGACGTCATGTCATTACCTGCCGCCTGCCCGACTTCCTGATTGCCTGGGAAGCCGGCTCCATGCCAGCGGAAGCACCGGTATTTGGTATCAGCGAGTACCGAAAGCAAAATATCTGTACTCATACTCGATACTGAAAAATTGTTATCGGTGCTTTCCTAGTAAAGACAATAATTGTTAGCTTTGTATAGAGTAGGGAAGGGTTAGAACTCCCGCCAGGATATCTATAAGCTGTCTGTGCACCATTGGGAAAATCCCAAAGTGGGGGGAGTTCCCTGGAACATGTGTCCCCATTGGAAGATTTGCCCTCACTTCCTGTTCTAGGGACAACTTTACAATTTTGGATTCCCCCTCACTTTCTTTCTCAGTGACAATGACCAGTACAAACAGAGGGGTGAGGGGTTACCCATCTGTTGCAGTTTATCAATCCTGAAATGTGGTGGCTGCATTCGTTTTGTCAAGCTTTTTTTCCCCCCTATATTTTCACCTGGTGATCCTGCCAGTAACACATTTCCTGTGCTAGGGTGACAACGCTCACTTGCTGTACTGTGACAGTGAAGCATTGTCACCCTAGGACAGTGTGTTAGGAATACAGAACTCCCCTTCTCTTTATAAACACATAGGGGGAGGTGTCTTGTAGTCACTACATTAAATTACAAACAAAAATGTAATTGAGTTAACCTCTCACTCCTCCCCCACTAATGTATTCTGTGAGGAGCAGAACCTTCCACAATAAGCTGACCTTTTGCACTTCTAATCATCAGTTTATTCTGGTTACATAAAACATTTATACTTTTATTACACACATTTAACATTCTATTACATGTATTTTTATTGCTGCTCTTATGATCCCTGCAGCCTCTAGATCAGGGGTGGGCAAACTCCGGCCCCACAGCTGTGGTGCAACTACAAATCCCATAATGCGTCTGAGAGTCTGCAGTGCCTAATAGGATTTCTAGTTCCACCACAGCTGGAGGGCTGACGTTTGCCTACCCCTCCTTTGAACAGAGCAGTGAGTATATTTATTTTTCCTGTATTGCAACATTGTTTCTATATGCCAAAGGCAATATCAGTCCTGGTGTTCTATCGAAAGCCCCAACTCATTGAGATCTCCAACTACCTTACTTCTGGTGCTCAGAAAGACTGGAGCTCTGTACAGTTGCGGTGCGCATGCGCGCATTGCGTTTTCAGAATACTTGTCGAGTTCTCCACCTGCTGAATATTGTTAAAATGCAGCTGTACAGAAGCTCCGTCAGTCTTTTGTGTTTTGCAGTCTAACGCCGTCTGGTCGAAATCTCCAACTTGCAAGCACCAGGCAGTGAGGTAGTTGGAGATTTCGACGAGTTGGACCTTTCGATAGAACACCAGTCTATTATTTATTTATCTTGTGGATAATGAATCTATTTGCAAGTAATGATCGTGTTCTTGGGATTGACGGGACTATTCATAATAAATGAAAGCTCATTTCATCTGCAAGTGAGAGCAAATGCCAGATGATTTATGTTTATCTTATATTTATCTTAAGAACATTCAACCAGAGGAGGAATTGCACCAAGAACATTCAATTTGGCCCCATTCTCACAGCAGCTGGTTAGCTTGCACAGATCGAGTTTTGCTAGATGAATAAGCTATGTATATATTTATGAGTAGACCCCTAAGTGTGGTTTTCCTTCCTCTCTCTGTATATGAGGCACCTTGATAATAGCCCTGGCCAGATTAAGGCTTGACATGGATGTGTGCGGACACAGGCACCATAATGTCCAAGCACCCTGTCCCAGGAGAACAATAGCAGCAAGACAATAAGATATACACTGGCCATTCCATTGGACCCTCATAGACATTGGAGAAACCCCCAGATGAAGGCATCAATTAGCACCTGAAGGAGCCACATACTGTACATAGCAAATCACTAGTTACATTCCCATTGCAATTCTTCCCGGAATAATCCTGGAATAGGAGGGTGCTGAAGCAAAACATGACCTGGTCAACTGTCATCAACATAAAAGAGAATACACGTTGCCGGCACACCATGGATTCCTATTAGTGATGCACCAATACCAATACCGATACCCTACTTGTGAAAATCCCATGATACCAAAAAAACAATACCGGCGCTTTAATTTTTCCAATTGATTCGGCTGCCTTAGGTCCTGCGCTTGCTAGGGAACTTGTGGCAGCCTTGTTGGGAACCACGCGGTGCCTGCTCACAGCGCTTCCCCCGCCAGCACATCTCCATCTCCTGAGACCCTCCTAACGAGACATCAGGCAAGCCTGGAGCAGATCGTCAGCACACGAGTATGTAGCAAATTCATATACTATTATTCTGCATTGCTGTATAGTGTATTGCTGGGATTGTACTCCTCTATAGCTGATGGTATAATTCTGCATTGCTGTATAGTGTATTGCTGGGATTGTACTCCTCTATAGCTGATGGTATTATTCTGCTTTGCTGGAATTTGTAGTCCTCTATAGCCGGTGCCATTCTGCATTGCTGTACAATGTATTGCTGGGATTTATAGTCCCTCTGCAGCTTTGAGTCAGTGGCAGAATTACAAGTGTCGCAGCTGCGACTGGGCCCTGGCGTTCCATAACTGTCCTAAAATCTTTAGTCTTTATTGTTCTAAAAACCACTGTCACATGACACTAAAAAAAAAAGGTATCGGTAATTGGTATCAGCAAGTACTTAAGGAACAGTATCGGTACTCATACACTGTCTGGAAAAAATGGTATTAGGGCATCCCTAATCCTCATCATATTGTCTAAGTATTTATCAAAGCATTCACATGAGCTGAGCCCAATTAAACAATCACCGTGTAATGCTTACAAAGAATCATAAGCTTAGAACAGGGCTTAGCCACGTACCTTAAAAAGTAGGACATATAGGTGTAGGGACAATTCACAGCACCAAAACCAGACAGTAGGGCCATTAGTGTAACCCCAATGACACCCACCCTGCTGATCAGCTGCTCAATGGACAGGATTCCTGTGGGGAAGAGTCAGAATGTAAGTACAGCTCTCAAGCCCAATCCACAGCTGTAGTACAATGACCTGCAAATATACATTACTAAAGTGATACTGGAGACAGTCTTCCCTTCATAAAACGGTTACATCACAAAGTCAACCTGAACTCCAACAGTAAAGAATTGCTTTCTTGTAGGAAACATCTAGGAATATGAATTGTGCCTAAACATAACTTAACATGAATTCTACATTTTGCTTGGGATTTCTCCTAAAAATATAGCAGTGCTCTTCCTGTGCCTTGATTCTCATATCTGCAGGGGGAGATCATCTAAAGCACTCGTGCCTCTGCTGCTCTCAGAAGATTTGAAGTGAGATTTGGTGATATCACTACCGTGTTGTTCACTGTTCTCCTTGCTGGAGAGGAAGGTGTACTTGAGGACCTGCAATGCAAGGATCTCCCTGCATCTGCTCCATTCATTCTGTGCTTCCTCCACCTCTCCTGCTGCTTCATTGTTACTCCACCAGACATGAAATCACCAGTCATTAGGGGAGCAGCTCTGACTTAAGGAATCAAAGCCCTGCCCCTCTACCGAGATGGCCACCTCCATTTAAATATAAAGTGCAGAACAAGGCATGGTAAGTCAGTAATGGGGAAAAGAATAGCTGCAGAGAGTCTACAGGCAATACTAGTGACTAGTCCTTTTCAATGTAGGCCTATTGTTGGCTGAACATAAGTAGTAAAGAAATAAAATATATAATGCATATATATATATATTATAATATATATATATATATGTATATATATACATATACACACATACACACTGTATAATACAACCACTATGCATTGACTTGTACTAGGTACCATGCTTCGGGCTGAGAATAGGGAAGGGGTCTCCCAGCTTCCAGAAGAAGTACATAAACGTCAACCAGACGACACAAGCGAAGAGTAACCTTTGCCGATGCACTGCAGAGAGGGAGAGAAGGAGTTAACAGTGTGCACTCCACAAATTACACAGAATGGCTCTAAATGTCTACAAACCGGAAAAAAAATTAAAAGAGCATTCTAAACCCACCTCCAGATTTATCTTATATTCTAATGAAGAACAATAGAGTACCACACTGCCAAATAGCATCATTATCCATCTTATGTTCCTTTACCTCCACTTATAGTAGTATTATAAGATTAATAATTGTTATACAAATGTTTAAAAAATGGTTTCATCCAAAAATATGTTTGTTTGTTTTTTTAAATTAAATGTTTTTTCATATGCAGCTACATAAGTACCCAAATCTGTCTTCATATTATCCTCCTGAAAAGATAACTATAGCTTTAAAAAACCCTCACCCCCCTAACATAGTTTGAGACAGAACCCCATCCAGGTGCATATTAACATGAATCAACGTCCTCCTCCGTCCTCGGTGCAGAAATCTTCTATGGCAGTGCCAGAGCCTGTGCAGTAAATCCTCCTTGGACTTGAATGGGGTGTACTACCTGGGGATGCCAGGAATAGAGCTCCATTCCATTGTAGGGGGAGTTCCTGGGCAGGGACGGGCTCGCCGGTTATTTCTGCACCAAGGACGCAAACATTGGAGGATGGTGCCAAACTTTGGCATATATTGTGCAGCTATGGGGCCCCTGAAGACAGTCTGAGTTTTGGTGCTTACTCAAACCTGTGAAGGAAAACAAATGTGGTTTGGTTTATTTATTTCCCCCAATCAAGTGTTTTTTTTATTCTGAGCCGTCCCATTTTCTTTTTCAAGTTATATTGGGTCTTGTAATTCTTGAGACGTGCCATTTTTAGCTGCGCGGTGCACCACAACACACGGCAGTGTATAATGGTGTGCACTGAGACACAAGTGCGTTGGGAAGGGTACTAGGGTGCCATTCAGAATAAATGGCACCGCAGCGCACCAATGCATCTTACTGCAACTGAAGTGTGTAGATCTGGCCTCACACAGACACAGCATTCCATCTGTCTTCTTTCCCACTGCACCAAGCAAAATGTAAATGTTTCCCATGTGACCAAATGGACAGGTAGACAAGGAAAGGACTATGTTACACTTTACAGGTATCAGACAGAAGTGTCAGGTATGTGTAACGGAAAACTCCATCTTTCCAGCTATAGGAGAGAACACTCTATATCCTTATATGCTCATCACACATTAATATCATCTCTATGTACTTTTGGCATTTGGTAGCTTTGTACTCACACAGTCGAATATTGCTCACCACAAAGTAGCCAATGTAAAAAGGGACGACAAAGACCAGGACCAATAAGATCACACAAAGATTGAGCTTCCAGTGGAAGTATCTGGAGCTGGAAAACAAGAATACATAATAAGCTGATGAATGGGCTCACAAGCCTGAACATCCTTTCCCTGAGATCCGTATTAATATGAAAAAGTGAAGCAATCCACAGCCACCAATTAGATTTCAGTTTCCTGGTGTATTAAAGACCAGCCTTAGCTCATGCCTTCAGTATACATACCTTAAAGTCCAACTCTGGGCTGATTGATTTGTTTGAAACATATTCCCCAATGGGTTAAAACAAAAAAGTAAAAACTCACCTACTCTGTCACTGTCCCCCCGCAGCAATCTCTTTTTGTCACTATATATCCTCAGTCTTCCAAGCTGAATAACACACAGCATCAGTCAACGAGGAAGATTGAGGAAAGTGTCTGAAAAAGACTGCGGGTGTCATGGGACTGTCCCCTGAGGGTGTTCCCATAGCTGACAGTGTAATGATGCATAGCGCGATGCTGATGTCATCATGTCAGGACTGCGCTCTTTACATCATTAGGGGACACCCAGCCCAGTAAAGAAGCAAAGAGGAAGAGGAGGACCCTGCATTACGTGATCAGCCTGAAGACCTTTGGAAAACGTAGGTATAACCAGCCGTGGACCTTGCACACCCCAAACAAAATTCATAGAAGCACACAGACCAAGTTTAGTATGTCCTGTCCTTCCATCCCATTGCAAGGGACCTAATCATAAGGTCTAAAAAAAAGATATGTAACGAAAACACAAAAGGTTTTATTCTGAAAATTCCATAGCATGTTTTTGGAGAGAGGGAGGTACCAGGGAAAGCAAAATATAAGACGATTAAGCTTCAGTTTTAAACTAAATCTATGTTTTGACTATGACGGGCAAAGCCAAAGTTTGCTGTAACACCTTCCTCCCCAGGAGCCCATACTCAGCTTTCCTTCACTCTCCCATCACTCCACTTAGCTGACAGGAGTAAAGAATACACAATGTACGTCCGGGTTTAGAGAAGCATGTGTCTCAGTCCTTCAGTGTCAGAGATTGGCCTAGTGATGTTGCATGGGGGCAGGAGGGAGTCCTCAGCCTTGTGTAAGATCCAACTAGATGAACTCAAAGCTTAAACTGAATTTAAAAATTAAAACATTCAGAAATTGTAGTTTTGCCTAAACAGTAACCTGAAAAAAATTACCTCGTCTGGAATTCCTCCTGAAAAATAAAGCAAAGCATTCCTGGTATGTGAGGGTGCCTAGGCACTCCTGTATCTACAGCTCACAGCTGTATATCTGCAGTGTGAGATCCCAGGCACTGCTTTACCTTACCTGTGCTCCCCCCACCTGCTCCTTGATCCTCAGCAGCAAGTGAGAATACCCACCACTTCCAGGTATTGAGGATTATGTGATCTGCCGTCCACAACAGTGACCAGGACAGTCACATCACCATTCCCCTAGGTCACAGCAGATTTCAGGTGCAGGTATGGTGCGTATAAGGGTTTTGGGGGGTTTCTTTTACAAAGACATTGCCACTTACATGCCAAACTTTCTGCTGTAATCAACGGCTAACATAGTACAAGTCTCTACTACTGAGAGAAATATCTAACAGGCCATATGAAGTCCTGGCTTCTTTGTAGGACAATGATTTTTACTCACCTGGTATTTAACAGTCCCAGGATCTCAAAAATAATCAGTTCAAACATAGTGCAGGAAAAGGCGAAAGTCACAGAGAAGACGACTTGAACCACATACTGCCGCACCTAGATGGAGAGCAGAAACAAGCAGTCACTGCTATGGCTGTACAAAATAGCTGCCACCTAGACAACTTCCTATAGAGAACTTCCAGGAGGCAGCACAGGAGGAGACAAACACACCATACAGCTGGAACCAGGAAAGGCAAATTATAATGAGAATACATTCAGCTTTAATATTTCACCCAGCACAGGACACCTGTAACCACTTGAAGACCAGAAAAAAATACCATCCCCAAAATTGCCCATAGACGATGCTTTAAAAGCTTTTACAGCTGATGGCCCTACAATTTTTGCTCGCCCTCCGATGTTTGCGGTGATATGTAACATGTGTGGCGCAATTGTTGTTCTGACACATAGGTGCACCCAAGGCGTGTTTGCGTACATGGGGGCAGGAGATTTTTAATTTTTTTGTGTTTTTTTTCTTTTTACAAGCCCCCTATGTGATAGCAAATATACAGTGGGGACATCAGGGGTCTATGAGATCCATGATATCACCTACGGACCCACCAAGAAGCACCACTAGTTCCAGTTATCTGCCCTATCTTGCATTCTTCCTGTCAGCTAAGTTGGCCATGAAAAGGGATATTGCCAGTCTCTGGAAAGGATGTTAGGAGGTTATTCTGCAGCACATACTCCAAGCCCCCTATGTGATAGCAAAGATACTGTGGGGACATCAGGGGTCTATCAGACCCCTGATGTCAACAACAGACCCACTAAGAAGCTGATGAAGCAGACATCTGCTACAGCAGCCGGAGAAATGACATGCTGAAAGCAGAAGTGATATCACACATTGCTTCCAGGTTCAGTGATTGGAGGGGAGATCAGTTGCTGGAAGTGTGCTAATCTCCCTCTGATCCAACCACAGAGACCTGCTGTGCCGGTCTTGGGCCCGCAGGGAGGACAGTGGAGCCCAGGACAGCCAGCAGTGGTGGGTGGGGGGCTGGACACACTCCCCGGCACCATACACGAAATTGGACAGCTCTTGTATGAAACAGCCTTCGTCAGCTGTGAACAATGTGCGCAGCTTCCCGCTCATGCGTGTGCAGGGGTGCATGCACTCGTGGGGTGGAGGGAAAGGGTGCCTAAAAATACCCATCAAGAGTGTGCAACTGGTTAAACTGGTAACAACCCCTCATAACGGATCATTACACTGTGGTGGAACTCACCTCATAGTCTTTGAAGAGCTGCCGCATGAAAAACAGCCAACCAAAGCCAAAGAACAGCAGCTGGGAAGACAAGAAAAAGAGAAACATGGTGCTGTAAGAAGATAAACATAAACACACATACAGAGTATAAAGAAAGAGCAACATGGAGAATACATAAAATTACACTCCAAGTTATGTATGCATCCAAAAACAAGAAAGCACTAAAGTACCTTAACCTCCCTGGCGGTATTCCCGAGTGTAGCTCGAGGTTACTTTTCCATACCATAAGCGGTAACCCCGAGCTACACTTGGGAATGCCGCATAGCATTTACTTACCTTGTCCCTCGAGCCGCGCTGTGTTCTGCGGCCGATGCCGGCTTCCGTCCCTTGCGAGCGTACGCGTCGCAGGGGCGGAACCGGCTGCATATTAAAAAAAAAGAAAAAAAAACGACAAAGACGAAAACAATTCGAAAAAAAAATAGACCGAAAAATGACATGAAAAAAATTAAAATGTGGTTAAGGCTTTTCCCCATAGTTCTCCTTAGGGTAATGTGAGGACAAAAACTAGCGTCCTCCCGTCACCCAAAGCTCAGTATACCGCAAGCTACAACTCGCGGTATACTGAGACGCCGCAGCCGAGGCGGATCTCGACATTACTGTCTGGATCCACCCAGCTGCGTGAGTGACAGCTGGCTCTGCCTATCTAGAGACAGAGCCAGTTGTACCCGCCCCCGTCCGTTCCGCCAGTCAGCGATGGCGCATAGGACAGGGGAGGGGGGGAATCCCTTCAGGGAGCTGTGAGTGACAGTCACGGCTCTCTGCAGGGATAGATCAAGAAGTGAGCGAGCGACGGTATGTGTTCGCTCACTTCCCGATCTACTGAGCCGACCTGTGACAGTCTCATTGTCACAGGTCGGCTCAGATTATGAGGCTGAGTGAAAATCACTCACATCATAATTCTCCTTTAACTATGAACAAAAATGTATCTTATACGTAAATCCTCAAATCATCTCTGAATTGGTGTCCTTCCTTCAGGATGCAGCTTAACTGTCCATGACTAGGACAGGACTACAAAATACCTCATACTCCTGTGACTCTTATTTGGGCCAACAGAAATCAACTGGATCTATTAAACATTATTGGCACGCTCATTTTGTGACCATCTTATTATCACCACTACAGTGACCCTTTTCCGCAAGAGAGCAAGGGTTCTTCTCTACAGTATGCTGGCAGGGGACAGACGTTATACTCTGAAACTGAGGGCAACCTCTGGGTGTATGTGACAAAATAAATCTACCCTTGCAATGGACGCCCCTGCACTGTAAGGGTTCAATGCTTGTTTTTGCCTATGATACTGCTTTTACTTATCTTATCCCTCGCTCCACCTGCAGCCGACGCTCGTCTCTTTTCTCTGACATTCTGGAGTTCTCACTTACCACAGGACTTATGGTCCTGCATAGGGATGCAACAACTAATCGACTAAATCAATAATGAGAAAGGTTACCAATAAATGGTTGGGGAAGGGGGGGGGAGGGGAATAAAATAGAAAGATTAAAGCTTTAGGGATGTGCTAAGTAGGACGGGAGAGAGAGAGAGAGAGAGAGAGGGAGGGAGAGAGAAAAAAATGTCTACAACCAATCGATTAGTTGAAAAAAATAATTGGGCAACTAATCGATTATGAAAATAATCGTTAGCTGCAGCTCTAGTCCTGCATTATATATGATGACGTCACGGCTGCAACTGTGGTCCAGAGCACCGAAGAGAACACACTTGGGGAGACCGGTTGCAGGAAAGCCTGGGAGACCGAGGGATAAGGTATGTAAATATGCTTTTACTGGTACCCTAGGAGAGGGGCATTTAACCCTTAAAGTGCAGAGGGAGTTCAGCTTTAAGTAAATCAATTGTAAGACTTTGCCCACTTTTATTACACCGGCCATGTATTTATCTTATTTAAACTCAAAGTTCAATAAGATTCGAACCCTTTCACTGACACGGATGTAACTACTATGTCCATGGCAGCAGGGAGCTGTAATCATTCTCCTGGCTGCCATGGACATAGCAGTGAGGCATCCAACTGTTGGCTATCATGTAGAGGTCATTCACCCTCCTTCCCTGCAGGAGCTCTGCTTTCAGAAAATATAGGATATTAGGGGCTTCAATTGATTTTTAGAATGCAAATAAAGTGTTAAGCTTCACTGAGGCAAGGACTGATGTGGACAGATTTGTGCTCTTTGTCGCTACTATGTAGATATAGAGAATATACACCTCTAAAGCACCTACTGAGGCTCCTCACCTGGGATATGACCATAAGGATGGAGTCAATGAGGAAGCTCATGGTTGATTGGTTATGCAGTCTAGTGACGGTCCTGATTGCATACACTCCGCAGTCCTGAAGATACCTTCAGTGGAAGACCAGGTGGGCAGGATTTTCACATGCCGGGTTTAATCCTCGCATGGCAGTCTGAAAGAACAGTGCACATTAGAAGTGGATTACATTGCAGCAGACCAGTACTGAAATCATCCCCCTCCCTGTTCCCAATCTAGACTCTCTCTCTCTCCCTTTCCTTCCCTATGATATAACATGTATAAATAACATACTCCCGAGCCCCCTCCAGAGCTAGTCATCAATTATCAGTGAACAGGGCATGCATTTGGGGCTCAGGGGAAGGGATGGGGGGGACAGAGTTCAGGAACATGCTTAGGTAACTGATCATTAGTGATGGGCTCGGGCGTGTTCGCAGCTCCACGTGCCGAGCCCGCCAGGAACCTGACAGTGCCGCAGCGCCAATCACAGTCACTGAGACATATCCCGATCTCTGCAGCTGCGGACCGGGATAATGTCTCAGTACCTGTGATTGGCGCTGCGGCACTGTCAGCTTCCTGGCTGGCTCGGCGCGTTGAGCTGCGAACACGCCCGAGCCCATCACTACTGATCATGTGACTAATTCTCAATCATTTAGTCACATGACTGGATCGGAGAATCAATTTCACCAGGAAAGTTAGCAGATCTCCCAGCTAAGATATGAAGAATAAACTGCAGCTGGGGACAGAGGTTGGCGATCGGAAGACAGGCAGGGAGGACTATTCCGATTAAGAATAACATGTAGAAAAATATGGCCAGCAATGGAGTTGGCGGCAACAGTGAGAATAACTGGGAATCAAGAAAATGTCATGTAACATTAAAGTTGAAGTGCAATGTACACATATAATACCTTCCCTTTGTCCCGCACTCCCTCCCGATCATGATGCGGGTGTTGATTACACACTGTTTACATTTCAATTATGAATGGGTCATTTATGTAGCAGTACAAAAATGCGGTGTCATCCGCAGTCACTGCGAGCATCCCCCCCCTCATCTAATTTGGGGTTTTCCCGCTAAGGAGTGCGACAAGGTATCTTTTTGTTTGTTCCAGTATTTATGTAGCAGTGACACATGTGCAGAATGACTGCGGCCTTCATTGACTGATTCATTCAATGAAGGTTCAGGTCATTCTGCACATGCACCATACAAATGACTCATTCAGGGCCAACATGTAAACAGCGTGTAATCAGCGGCGGCAGCAGCACCTTCTGTCTACACGTGATTGCTTTACGTGTTTACATCTGGATTCGCCACCGATGTCGAGTCATTCACTGGCAGGGGAGAAGTGGCCACACAAGCTGCCTGTACACGCCGCAGCCATACAGACCTCGTGTCCGCACAGTTCAGAGGCAGAGAGAAGCTGATTGGTTGCCATGCGCAACTGCTCCAGATTCTGTCTGCTCTAGCTTTGATATATCCCCCCCCCCCCATTGTTTTATTTACAATCTATGTCACGTGATATATATAAAAAAACAACAACTTTTAAACGCTTGGGAAGTAATAAAGGAAATCCGTTTTACAGAGAAGTGTTATTGTTGTGACACCTTAAAAATCATTGAATTTGTATTCTCTATAGTTAATACGGGATGTGGGGCCCTCTAATGGCCCCTCAGTCTTCAATGCTTACAATGTTTTCCTGTCAGAGTTCCATCACACACAGCGCTGACCTGCTCCAGTCTGTCACTTCATCCCTTCCTCTCACAGCTGGCTCACACCATCACCATCAGCAAGAGGAAGAGGAAATCACAGAACACATTCACACAGGCGTCCTCACTTTCAGCAGCGAGCGGAGAGCTTCCAGGAGCCCCGTGCCAATTAAACGTAATGGAGAGAGCTAAGAAAAAATGGCTGCGGTGTGGAGACATATAAAAGGAGGTATATTGCTTCTCTAGTGTTTAAATTGTTCTTATATTAGATTGGCTGGCGGAGGAGAACGTTATCACATCCGGTTTTAGAAGTAGGTATGAATAGTAGCCAATCAGTTGGCGACATTGGAAGAAAAACTAATGATTGGATAACAAAATGGGAGGGACATTTCATATCGAGGCTTGGAACGCAGCCATGTGCAGTGAATGTGGAAAGTGACACTAGAGTCAGCGGTAAGAGGTAGATATGGGGATTAAAGGGATCGTTGAGGGGAACACAACTAAGGGGCATATCAATAAAGCCCTGACTTTCACCAAATATTCTCTGCACAATAATTTTAACATGCATCAGGAAGATTCACCTGCTCTGAATGTGTGGTGAAACTCACATTCCCTGCTTTATAAGTATACACGTGATAAAGTCTGCAGAGAGGGGGTTGCATTTGCTGACCTCCCCTCCTGAAAATAACAGTCCCCTGGTTGTCATGGTGATTCATTATTTTTGTACCAAATTTGCTTTTCTCTTTGCTTCCTCCGGCTCCACGTTTCAGAGTATTAAATTCAGAGACAGCTAGGTGAATGGTATTTTCAGAAGACCAGCAATGCCTGCCTTCATTCTACTTTCAATATAGGTTTCCATTAATGGGGATTGGGGGGGCTGGGTAGTTTCCCCCCTTTACGTCCAGAGCGTTCCAGATTGCTAAGAGCTCTTAGCAACCTGAACCTGTAACGCTCTGGTCCGGGTCCCAACCAGCTCCTGGCAAATGGTGAAGTAATTAAGCTGGGTAACGTGTGCCAAAAAAAAAACATACCTCCTTCCCTTCCCCCGGTAACATGCACCTCAGGTGGCTAAAAGTGTAGGGACACCCCTGTGTGTGTGTGTGTGTGTGTATATATATCTCACACACACATCGGTATCGGTGGGTATTTTCATTAATACTTGTACTCTTGAAAATGCCCCAATATTAGCTCTTTAAATGGAAGCGGCTGACCGAGGTCCTGCACTTGCTGGGGACCTTAGGAGCCTTCCTGTGAACCACGGCTCCTGTTTACAGCGCCGGCTGCACATGCCCCCCTCCCTGCGAGACCCCGCACAGCCCTCCTTAGACCCTGGAGACATCAGGCCCCCACCCCAGAACAACAGGGAATGTAGGTTCATATTATTCTGCATTGCTGTATAATGTATTTCTGGGATTTGTAGTCCCTCTACAGCTTGGAGTGAGTGGCAGAACTACCGTGGTCGCAGCTTTGACTGGGCCCTGACTCTCCACCACTGTCCTAAAATCATTGGTCTGTTTTGTTTTAGGAAAACTGTCACATGACACTGAAAAAAAGGTATCAGTGATTGGTACCGACGAGTACTCGAGGAAACGTATCAGTATTTGTACTCGGTCTGGAACAAATGGTATTGGTGCATCCGTAATATATGTATGTATGTATGTATGTATGTATGTGTGTGTGTATACATTGTTGTTATTAGTATATATTGCTATAGTTTAATTGTTGCTTCCAATCATTTTATTCCCCAAATAGTTGAACTATGAGGACCGTATTACAGAGGGGCCGGTTGATGGGCAGACATTTTCCAGCGTGCGGGCTGTGTCGGAATGCTGGGAGTTTGGCTTCCTTCCAGGAGGTGTCCAAGCTGCAGGAGAAGAAGATAAAGAGTATATTGTATCCTGTGACCGATCTGGAGAGGATAATCAGCCCCAGCGTGGACCGGACTGATTTTCGGCTGTTTAACCCCCCTGTTGAGGAAATCGCCGCTGCCGAGAGCTTGTTCAGGCCTGCCGGAAAGCATGTGATTGATTACGTCACGTCGGCTGTCAGAATGGATCACACGCCAGACCTGCAGCAGCCTGAGGTTTGTGGAGGCAGTTTGAGGCCAATAATATAACGATTCTGCAGAGTTTTAGGGTTCATTCACACCAGCGTTGCCCCAACGTAGAGATGAGGCAATCTGCGTTATGTCACACCAACCAACGCACCGAGGCACATAGAGCCAAATACAGAGGAAAGTTTCATCAAAGTGCAACTGAAGCTGTTTTTTTTTTAGTTTTGAATAAAGTGGAGAGGGATCAGACCCCCTGTCAGGTTATTATTGCTGTCTGTGTCCCCGTTGGGGAGATTCACCCTCAGTATCTGTCCCGGTGAACGTTATCACTGAAGGAAAATCCAACATTTTGGGTTGTCACCAGAAAAGAAAAAGATAGAAAATCTTCCAATGGGGACACTAGTTCTGGTGACCCTGCTCACTACCAAAGATTTCCCTCACTTTTGGAGAGATTGGCTCTCACTTCCTGTTGAGGACCATAGGAAATAAATATTTAGTGGATGGATGCACTTCGGCAGTCATCCAGTTCACTTTTGTATTTCAACGAGGACAAAGGTACAACCGTTATTCAGCTCTCTCTGCCTGCCTCCCTCATACTGTATCTTCCATAAAATATATTGAGCTGAGCTCATGAAAATCTGGAACAGCAAGTATGTAAACATCTGAAAGTAACAGGGATCCCAACCTGAAAGAAGCAATTTCAGGGAGGTGCCCTCTGCTCTCTCCCAATCCGCGCGAGGGGGGGAGCACCCCCCCCCCCCTTAACGAAGGCAGATGGCACAGGAAGCAAAAGCTTCTTTGCTATTCGCAGTTTTTGTTGTCTTTTTTAGGATTCTGGCAGCTGCTGCCATCAGAATAATAAAAAAAACTCTGCTCGATCAGAGTAAACCTTTCCGGGAGGAAGCTATCTAATAGCGGGAGACTCCCGGAGCGTCCGGGAGAGTTGGGATGTCTGAAGTAACATGAAAAGTTGGTTTTAGGTAGACTTGATCGTAATAACTGTGACTTCATACTATGCTCCAATCATGCTTTAGTGTCCCATAGAATGTTCATCTCGCTCTTTGTAGGTTTGTTTTATAGGAAGAAGCAATGTGGGAAAATCTTCACTCATCAAGTCGCTGTTCGCTTTGGTCCCTGGAATTGATGTGCGAGTCTCCAAAACACCAGTATGTCATTAAAGGAATACGAGTATATCCTCTAAAGGGGCACCAGTATGTCCATCAATGGTACACCAGTATGTCTTTAAAGGAGCCACCAGTATGTCATCTTACAGGGACAGCAGTATGTCCTTTTTAAAAGAATACCAGTCTGTCTTCTATAGGCACACGGGTCTGTCTTCTATAGGCACACGGGTCTGTCTTCTATAGGCACACGGGTCTGTCTTCTATAGGCACACGGGTCTGTCTTCTATAGGCACACGAGTCTGTCTTCTATAGGCACACGAGTCTGTCTTCTATAGGCACACGAGTCTGTCTTCTATAGGCACACGAGTCTGTCTTCTATAGGCACACGAGTCTGTCTTCTATAGGCACACGAGTCTGTCTTCTATAGGCACACGAGTCTGTCTTCTATAGGCACACGAGTCTGTCTTCTATAGGCACACGAGTCTGTCTTCTATAGGCACACTAGTCTGTCTTGACCACAAACAGTCATAATTTGAGGCGTACATTTGTACGCATGCGGGGATGTATGTATATCCACCATACCGTTTTTGATGTCGATGGGCGGCTGCATGCAACACCTGTGGCTTCCTGGTCTGAGAGTTTTACATTTACAGCCCCATGCGTCTTTGTGCATGAAGCCTTACACGCGTGTTTACACTGCCTCTTCCTTTCTCTCTGAGGGTCACACAAAGAAAATGAACTTTTTCAAAGTGGGAAAAGCCTTCACCTTGGTGGACATGCCGGGCTACGGGTACAGAGCGCCCGGGGACTTTGCCGAAATGGTGGAATCCTATATACAGGAAAGACGCAAGTATGTTTCCTGGACCAACGACTATGTTTCCCATAATGACCGTGTCTATCCAAAAGAGAAAGTTCACTTATTGGGTTGATACTTGTTGGGTGAACAGTCCACTGGTTTGTTATAGCAGACCGGGGTCTTAGATCTTCATGATGTTACTAGGTCAGTGGCTGAAGCAAGAGGTTCAGCTGGAGAGCCAGGCAATGAGCATGTACATAAGGAGAGCAATGGTAACCTCCATATTTTTCTTGCAACATTGGAACTCCAGTTTGGCAATCAACTTTACCCCATCTATTTATTTCCACATTTTTAAGTGTTATTTGTTCCCTTGCCTCCCACTTTACAGGGTCTATTTTATTTCCTGTGCTCATCAGCTCCATCTAGTGGCCATAATGCAATATTACATATACAATACATTCCCCTGTAATGTTCATAATGACTTATATCAGCATAGAAAAAACATTCACAGATATTCGCAAGGCAAGCAGCCCTATGAATAGTTTATAAATAGACCCCAAAGTATCTGAAAGAATAATGGCACGTACAAGCTGATAGTAGCGAACGCTTTGCTTTGTGTCTGGTGCGATGGAAAATAACAACTGCAATTCTAAATTCATTTGGTGGATGGGGGAACAGTTGTATTCAAGAGCAGATATGGATGGAAGAAAGGTGGAGCTGTTGACTGTAGTGACCAATCAGGTTGGACTGAGAGAAAAAAAAAAAACAGATCAGCCAATCAGATTGGTTATCTACACCGTTCTCTGTTTTTTTTTACTTCAGATTCTATACCAGGGGTGGGCAACCTCAGTGCTCACGGTGAGCTGAAACGTCAACTCCCATCATGCCTCTGTCTCTGGGAGTCATATCTGTGGCTGTCAGAGTCTTGCAATGCCTCATCGGACTAGTAGTTCTGCAACAGTTGCAGTGCCTCATGGGACTTATAGTTCCACAACAGCTGGAGTGCTGCGGGTTGCCTACCCCGTCTCGTGCCTTGATACATAAGGTTGATTTTTTTTTTTTTCTTCTATAATTTTTTTTTTTTAGTTTAAAAAGGACATTTCTACTTTTGGATAGTTCCATTGGAATTCAGCAGGCGGATCTGATTGCGGTGGAGATGTGTGAGGAGTTTGGGATTCCTTACGTTGTAAGTTTAGTATCAGCAGCATCATCTGTGTCTATTAATATGTTGTAGTTGCCTCCTAACCAACGTCGGCTCAACACCTACAACATAAAATAATATTCCCTAAGAGTATCATGTGAGAAATAAAATGTATACATAGTTAGAACATCACAATAACTGAACACAGGAGAGACATTAAAATGGTAAAGCCAAAGCCGGGTATAAGCTACAATACACCTTCGGGTAGAACAGAAGATTGATGTTTGCTAGCAAATCCATAAGTTCTCCGAAGTTCCATGTAAAAAATTGATATTCATCAATAAAGACCTAATTAGTTGTACTAGGTATGAACAGACACAGATCAGCAGGGCCAGATTTCCACTCTGGGCTCCTGTAGGTACGGATGGAAATCCGTTTAGCCTGAGCCGGCGCTCTTACCTGCTGCGGGACCCGCCGGCTTTCACACATGCAGAGAAGGACCCCAGCTTTGCGTAAGGCTGCCCTAAATGCCTGTCCACATCAGACAGGCATTTTACAGGGCAGTCTTACACAGTGCCGGGGCTCTTCTGTGTTTATGGAAGCCAGCAGTCCCTGTAGGCGGGAGCAGGAGAGTTCAGGATGCACCCTCCTTGCTATTGCCAGTGTTGTATCTTGGCACAACTCCCAGAATTAGGCAGAGAATGGGTACCTGCACAGCACCCCTCTATGTAGGGCGCCTGTAGGCACGTGTCTACTCTGCCTAAAGGTAAATCTGGCCCTGCAAACAAGTGACCACCCTGCAGGTGTATACTGTGCCTCCATATTCTAGGCACCATTCTGCAGGAACATAGCTGTATTAGGGCCGTGCTCCGGCCACAAAAGGAGCTAAAAGTACCTTTGCAGTAACCCCGGCCTCCACATCTTTTATAGTTTACAATAGCTTTATAGTTAACCAGTGATCAGTCTGCTGCAGGCAGGCAGGAGCAAGCATTTCCTCAGTCTCCCCTCCCCCAGTAATCAGACTCTATCATTGGCTAGAAATTATATATATTCCCGTGCAATATGTCCTATAAGTCAGTGCTATACTCAATGTTTTGTTAAATATCTGAAATGTTTTTCTGCAGGTTGTGATGACCAAGGTGGACCGGTGCCGGGCCGCTGTGCTGCTGATGCAGTTCCTGCAGGTACAGGAATTCATCAAGAAGAAGACGACGGGGTGCTTCCCGCAGCCCTTCCTGGTCAGGTAATGCGCTCGGCTGTGAAACTGAAAACCTCACATTGGAATATATGCCACAGAAATATTTTCCTGCAAGCTGTGCCACCAATAGAAGTAGCTTCACTGTAATGTCTCCCGGCGCTTCCCTCTGCTCTCCATCTCAGTCCGGCACTTCGGTAACAGAGACTTTCATCTCCCATAGAACTAACATTGTGTTTTCTATACAAACATTACGATTTGTCTTTGTTTGCAGAAGTAGATCAGGAAAGATGGAGATAAGTTGCTGTGTGGACATTTCATAGTTCTTTGGCCTTGCTCACGCTCATGGGTTGCTACATTCCATGTGATACTTTTACGTTTTACAACAGAGACCAAGTTATTTTCAGTGCATGAAAGAGGCACTTTACCCATTCTGGGGGCTGTCAGTGTGGCCTTTTCGGTGCGCTGCCCATTCTATAGCATTACACATTATCCTTTACTGTTATCCATAGGAACAACCTTCTGAAAACATTTACATATACATCTAGGTAATCTCATTTGCAATAACTTATTTTCAGTGCATGAAAGAGGCACTTTGCCCATGCTGGGGCCTGTCACTTTGCCCTTTCTGGGTGTTGCCCTTTTGGGCAAAGTGGCATCATTTTGAATGGGCATTTAGGACGCCTCCCCTTTGCCCATGCGAGGCGCTGTCACTTTGCCTATTAGAGGCGCTGCCATTTTGCCCCTTTCCGGGCACTGCCCCTTTGCCAATTCTATAGCATTACACACTATCCATATGAACAACGTTCTGAAAACATTAAAATATTCATCAAGGTAATCTCTTCTACACCTAATATGTAAAAAAAAAATAAAACCTAGAACAAAGGATGTAGATTTTAGTACTGCGGAGAATTAAATCAAATTTTTAGGTCGAAGTTCCCAGACCTGTATTTAATCTGTGGTCAGGGCAATGAGGCTCTTCCTGTTTGATTTTTCACATATGTTCCAATCTGAACAGCGCATTAGAAGGAGCGGGAACAAGTCCAAGTGTTACTTAAATTTCCCCCCTAATCGTCCTCTCCCCCTCTAGATCATGTCCCAGCATTATGTTTGTTATTTTTATCTTCCTTTAAGAAGAAACTACTTTCATTACTTCCTCTTTTTATATTCACCAAGCTTGTAAAAGTAATTTCCTATTGTAGACACACCTCCAGAACTACATCTCTTAAGAGTCCTTCCCTACACACAGTGTGTGGACAGGCTCTTGGGAGTCAAGGCAGCAGCATTGTGATGCAGAAAAGAAATGAATATAACTATATGGAAGCTGCGGAAGACAGAGAGTGGCAGGGCTGACAGCGCTTGCTGGAATTCCGGAGCAGTTTTGTCAGCTCAAACAGGAGGTCAGATAGTTTACTGGATTCTTGGCAGATCTACAGGGATTGTTCTGTATGTGGCATTTTTAAAGGGATAAAACTATTCTTGTACAGCAGAGATTTTTTTTTTTGCTGTAACATACAATTTAACTCAGGCTCAACTTAAGTTCATGAGGGATTTCCTAACGTCAGCTAACATACCTAAGTAGGCAGTTTTGGACAAATATTTGCAGATAATCCAGTTCACAAGAAGACCTTTGCACATTGAAGTGCGTACCTACCTCATCTAGGACAATACTGTTTGCGTAGTTTGATGTTCTAATACGTCTACAAGCACATAATGTTGATTTGCTCACGGGATGGGGATTTAAGTTGTTTGCAGACCCAGCTCATAAGCAAATCTACTTGTCTGGATGAAAATGTGTATAGAACAAGAGCTGTGTCCCTAGTACATTGCAGCATATGGTAGAAGAATGCATTATTTAAAGTGGAACTGAAGGCGATAAGGGATTTGCCATGTTAAAGGGACATATAGAAATGTCAGCTGCGCCAAGCAGCACCCGGAAAACTGTAGCTTTTTGTTTTTAAGTCCTCCTTAAAATAGCAAATCACCTCCTGGTATGCAAGTGTACTTAGGCCCTCCTATTCTATAGCCTCATAGCTGTATATCTGCAGTGTGAGATCTCAGGTACTGCTGGTCTCAGGAGATTTGGTGATGTCTTTACTGTGCTTATCACTGTTCTCCTTGCTGGAGGCTCCGGGATGAGGAAGCAAAGCCCTGCCTCTACCAACATACCGTGCGAGCAAGGCATTCTCACACAAGCAACATATTGTGAATATCTTTAAAACTGTACATAGGATTGATCATTTGAATATTTTTTCAACTCTTTATTTTACCAGTGACTTTTTTTCTCATTGCAGCTCCCTGAATTTCTCAGGAATACACCTTCTCCGGTGCTTCATAGCTCATGTAACAGGAACCCTTCCTAAAATCAGCTGAGCATCCATCATCACACACAGCCTCCGTGCTGAAGCCTTCAAAAGTACTTTACTCAAGCCATGCTGGATGTATTTTTTGCAGACACACCAATAGCTGTTGGACCCCCCCCCGAAGTGGGCTCAAATGTGGGACAAAGTATTTTAGGGGACATACACTCTTTACTGTTTGAGTAAGCTGGGGAGAAGAAAACATCCTCTTAAACCAATTACCTGGTCATCATTTACTACATTTCAAAACTCACCACTACTCAATTCTGATGGGAGTCTCTGATTTGTGCCTTCTTGACAGGTCATTTCTTAGTTTACCAACTAGATTTAATTTCCTGGCAATGAAAACCTCACCCTTTCCCAGGGATAAAAGACTCATTAAGATGTTTAAAGCGTTACTGAAGGTGTGTGAGATTTTAAAAAAAATAGTTCTAATCTTTTACAATGAATGCGTAGGATTATAAAGCAAGTAAATTAGCATAGGGATGCACCGATACCAAGTACTCGTACTTGTCCAAATGCTCCGATGCTTGGCCCGATACCTAACTTACGGTATCAGGAAGCTGAGCAGCGAGCTCCATGCTCCCTCGTCGCAAGTGATGAGGGAACATGGAGCGGGCTTGCCGGGCAGCGTGTCATTACGGCACCCAGCTTCTCGATTGGCCAGAAAGCCAGCTCCATGCAGTCTCGTCCCCTGGTGATGGGGGAGCATGGAGACGGGAGGCGAGTCTTTTACATGCCACCCGCTTTATCAGGAACCCAGGTGGCCAGTCTTCACACATCACCTGGCTCCCTTAAAATGAGACTTCTGGTATCGGTATTGGAGAGTACCGAGGGAAAAACCAAACAGTATCGGTGCATCCCTAGTAATAAGATACATTGCAGATTGGGTGGAGGCAGAGTACATTATATACAAAAATGACCATTAGGTGATATATATTCAGTCCAGAAGCTAGACAGTATCTGTACATGCGAGGGAGAAGGTTAAGTAGTAGGTAAATATATGTATACATCTTTAAGCATATATTTCATACATAAATGGCAGATAAGCCTCACAAATTGAGAGCAAAAGCCTTGAAAAATCTCCAAAGCCAACACATTTGCCATCAATTCCTCTCCATTGGACATAGTCAAATAATCACCTGGATCCGAGACAAATTTTGAGTGCCAACCTTTATTTTAAGGATGTGCCATCAATGTGAAGAATCATTTTATGTAACGTTTAAAGTTTTAGAGCAATGCAACAGCAAACACTTTGGCGGTGGAGCCGCCCTCTTGGTAATTACACATGCAGGGTCTGCTTTCTGCTTAGCACTGTACAGAGACACGGCTTCTTCCCGTAATTGCAAGACTGTTGATTTGTGCAAAATGCACATTCTTTAGGGCTAAATGAGCTTATGTTAGCCATAAAAAGTCAAATTACATTCCCCTTCAGGAGTAGGCCGACCTCAGCACTTTAGTTACGGTGTTACTTTTTTTTTCTTTATATGCAGGATAAGTCAGTTTTAGCGAGGGGCTGTAGAGAGCACAAATTTGATATCAGTTATAATCGCCCAATTACAAACAATGCTCTCTAGCAGTCTCCAAGCTATGACCACCTCCTAAGACGTCCATAGTCTTTGACCATCTCCTGTTACATGCCTGCAGTCTGATAAGCTTTCTGTAGTATTACATTGACCGATATGGTCCTTTAGTTACAGTATGTCAAGGGAAGCACTTGAGGCCGTCTGTAACAAGTAGGTTGACCACCACTCTAAAATTATTAGAGAAGTACACAGCCCATATAACAGCACAGAAGAACAAAATAATTTACTTTAATGCAGACCTCCCCAGCTGTATATATTTTCCACCCTTTCATTTCCCACCGCTCCACTCAGCTGCCAGATGACACAAAGGAAAGCCTTGTGTAATCTACAGGTAGTCAGTGTCTAAGCTTACACTGGGCCTATCCCCATGCTACAGTAATGATTGGCCCAGCATGGTCACATGCTCCCCCATACCTGGAAGTACTGGGTATTTCTTTCCTCTGACACTGGTTGGCGTAAATCTGTTGCCAATGCTGACCTTCTAAAACTACTAGTTCCGGGCAAGAACAGCCAAGCACCATATATGCAGATCTGGCAAGTTTATATCTGCATACCGATTCTAGCTTAGTAGCTCAAAGCATTGAAGTCAGAAGGCCGCAATTTTCCGTCGAGGTCCATAATGGCAGACAGATTTCCGAAGGGTTTACTTTGTACTAAATAACAGACTATACAGGAGGGGGGAACCATTGGCACTTCTACTGTCCTATTTTGGCGAGCCCTTGCAAATTGTAGCCTTAGTTTCCTGTTCTTGGGTGACAGGAGTGGCACTTGGTGTGGTCTGCTGCTGCTGTAGTCCATCTGCTTCAAGGTTCAAAGTGTCGTGCGGGTCAGAAATGCTCCTCTGCACACCTTGGTTGTAACGAGTGGTTATTGGAGTTACTGTTGCCTTTCAATCAGCTTGAACTAGTCTGTCCATTCTCCTCCGACATCAATAAGGCATTTTCACCCAGAGAGCTGCCGCTCACTGAATATTTTTTCCTTATCAGACCATTTTCTGTAAACTCTAGAGATGGTTGTGCATGAAAATCTCAGTAGATCAGTTTCTAAAGTACTTAGACCGTCTGGCACCAACAACCATGTCACATGCAGTCATTTATGTAACCTTTTTCACCATTCTGATGCTCAGTTTTGAACTTCAGCAGAGGTCTTCATACCTAAATGCACTGAGTTGATGCCATGCGATTGGCTGATTCGATATTTGCATTAACAAGCAGTTGAACCCAATAAAATGTGGCCAGTGAGTATTAATAGACTTTATTTGACCTGAGCAATACAAAAAGCTAAAAAACTTAAACCACAAGGCTCATCATAACCTTGAGAATTACTACAATTAAACAATTTATTCCATACATTGACCCAGATTTCACAGTTTCACAAACTAAGAAAAAAAAAAAAAGTTAAAAATAAACAGTAAAATCTTTAGAGATTTACATTCTTTTGTAGAAAATTTACACCATTAAAAAAAGTCATCCAATGGGAGCAATGTTTACAAAACAAGGACTTCCAATACCCAAATTTGCCGCTGCAGATTATGATCTTTCACATTGTTGCTCTTGACTTTGCTTTCTAGGAGGCCTAATGGTTGAAACCATGTTTTTCTAATTGGACCAAGTGAAAATCAAAATAATTGTTGAGTAACATGATATATGGCTTCCAAGACAAAGATATGGCGTCCACTCAGACATGCCCTAATGATATAAATCAAGGCCAGGAAAACTATACCTCCATGTTAAGCATTAGACTGAACTAACTCATACTGTCGGGGATGGTTCTCCTCAACGTCCTCTTCAGGTTCATCCTCCTCATGGAGAGTACGGCTGTGAATTCCAACCAGCAGTTCATAAATCAGGGTCCCTATCACTCCTCCTATCATTGGTCCCAGCACTGGCACCCACCACCAGTGATTACCAGCCCTGCAAGAAAACAGAAGTTACTTTTAGAAAACCAATCTACACTACAGAATTAGTACAAGTATTTCTCCAGTGTGATAAAGCTAAACTCCCCGCAAAAACAACTGAGATATATGGTATGTAAATTCATTTGCAATTCTGTTCAGCCACTTTTGAGCCAGGCACAGCTATTGGAAAAAAAAAAAGAATAGGAAGGCCCTTGGTTTCATCTCCACTGTTTTTAGGCAATACAACATCAACCTGCCCCCCAGATGGCCAATGTGAGCATCCTTAAAACTCCCAGACTGCCAGCAGTTGGATTGTAGCCCGAGTCCTACTCTGCATGGGCTTAAATGTTAGGCAATACAAAAGCACTACAGGCAGAAGAAGCAAATATCAGCCCTAACTTGTTCTTTACAGGTATATATTTTACTCCCTGTGACAGCATTGGGTGCCCAAAGAGCCATTTACCAAGCACCAGCACTGCTGCATGAAATGGAAGGTCACAAGAGCCTAAGCCATACCTGTTTTTTCTCTTCACTGCCGTCAGCCATAAAACGGCAACAGTGAGTAAAGAAAAGTGATGTATTTGCTGCTGTTCCAAGTGAAGATGTTGCTTTGGCTCCCTTTAAGCATTCAAACCCTTAAAGTGACATTAAACCCTCAGATTTTTTAACATGAACTACTGTAATGTGCGCCTTACTGTAATCCATGGTTGTTTCGCTTCTCCTTGCTGCTCTTCCTTTTAAATCTGTATCTGTTCTCATGCTGGGCAGAACTTCTGTTTTGCAGCAGACTACCTTGTCTCTGAAATGGATACATGGTGTCTGTGTGCAGTTTCAAAACCTGAGCCAGCACTACAGGAAGAGGCACTTGGCTGCAAAGGGAAGTTCTCCCCTAGCATAAGACATGAGGATTTAAAAGGAAGAGCAGCAAAGAGAAAGGAAACAACCATGGATTACAGTAAGGCGCACATTACAGTATTTTATGTTAAAAAATCTGAGGGTTTAATGTCACTTTAATCTCAAATGTGTTGCCACAATTTATTTGTTTTGCTTATTTCTATTTAAATGTTATCAGCCAACTTAACAGAAAACAGTTTTCACACAGTTCCCAAAAAGTTAATTAGCGTGCTAACACTTTGGGGACTTTGTCTGGGATCTGTCACTTCCTCCCAAAAGGCCATTGCAAAGGAGTAAAGACTAAGACCCCTTTCAAATGGCCATTCCAACCAGATCTTTGTCAGTTTTTCAGGTGGACCAGGTTGGAAGCCCAGTGTGTGGCTAGGTCCAGAAAAAAGCTCAAATTTTTTTTCCAGACATAAAAACTTGAAAGGTCAGAGGTAAAAGGGCATACATGGAGCAGGTCAATTTACATTCGCCTGCCCATTGACTCAACATGTGTCCGCTAAGCTCTGTTTTTTCCCCTCAAATTATACGATGGCAGAAAAACCTGAAAGGACACAAGATAATCACAAAAGTGCCATCCGTTCTGCTCCGTGAACAGATCCCATGCTGTTTAGAACAGACACCATTTGTCTGAAAGGGTCCATAGGCATTTCAAGCTGATCTTCAACCCACTGTTAACACCAAAAAATGTCATATGAAAGCAGTTGACCAATTATTGCTCTCAGCATTACTCAAGATCCATATCCCAGGATTTAGGAGTGCTTTCATAAACGTTTCCACCTGAGATTTACATATTCTTTTAATTGGTGAGAAAAAAAAAGTCTCCTGGGTGAAAATACTTAGAAATGGACACTTAGCGCCTTTTAAACAGCTAGTGAGAATGTTGAACTGAAAGCATAGGAGAGAGCAAAAATTACCTGAAGACTTCTAGGCCCCAGCCAGCCATTGCAGTGAAGATACGAGGTGCCAAGTCTCTGGCAGGATTTATTGGGTACCCACAGTTGAAGCCCATTGATAGACCAACCAGAAGAACCACAAGACCAATCACAAATGGCTGAAGGCCTCGAGGAGCAGCATTGTTGGATTCATCTATTACTGCTAGTATACAGATCATTAAGGCAGCAGTGGCAATCACCTGTGACCAGATAACAGAATAGGTCAACATGACCAACAAAAGGTTGAGCCAGGACAAAAGAAACAGATGCTACATATTTCAGGATATTCCGGGATACAGATCAATAGCCATTAGTGAAATAATGCATTTTTGTTAGACCAGTGTTGCCCCCACATAGGCTACTTCCACCACTAAGAAAACCTTACCTGATCTGTGAGTCCATTAAGAATGGTCAAGTGTTCGGATGGGTACGAAGCAAATATCCCCGCTGTTGCCTGGGTGCTAGACACCGTCCAGTTACCTCCACTGTACGCATGAAGAGCATCTGGGTCACAAGGTAATATTTACAATGGTAACACTAATTTATTACAACCAGCATTGATGCTATAGCCCTTGTGAGTATTGTGTTCTCAGGACCATCATAATGCCTACATAGTTCAGGCCAGGTCCTTGTGGAGCTACAAATTATGTATATCTGCATTGCACACTATACTGATATACCCCTTGAAATTAGGTGCTGACTGGTGGATGGCACCACAGCAGTGCATAAGGTAAATATTTAGCCGGTTTAACTCTTGCTTTAGAAGTTATTTGACATTGTTGCCGCACATCAGAAGGAACTGCAAGATTTCAGAACTGCACAGGGTTCCTTCATCACGCAATGTGTGGACACTGTCAGACGAAGGAACCCTGTGCAGTTCTGAAATGTTGCTTTTGCATCTACATATCTAGATTTCATGGGATCTATTTAATAGACTAACAAGTGGCTGCCTACTAAATCCATGTGCATCACCTGCAGCTCTGCAGTGAATAAAGGCTTTAACGCTGCATGTAAAGTGTAAATCCGGCCCTGCCTGCTATACTTATCTTTCAGCGAACGCTCCTCATCCTCCAACGATATGGGTCTACCATCCATACCCCATACTGATGCGGATAATAGCCCTGCTCTACGGATTTTGAATTTCACTCGCAAATTGCGAACACTCATTGGTCAGCACCATAGCCTATAACCCAGTTGACCAGCTAGCCATATCACCACCAACTAGATCAGATGCTATGTTCACTGGGCACACCACAATCAGGGGAAGGGGATGAAAGGGCCTGTTTACACAAGCTGCCTTAGTACATCTGAACCAATGTCTAGAATTGCACCAGATGGGCAGTCTAGGATCAATTATATGCCCACCTGCCGACCTAAGTCACAGTTTGTTGGCTATGCACAAATCCAACCGAGATTTAATCTGATAAATTACCATCACCCAATTCCTGGACCACCCACACCAAACTCATCATCAATTCTTTAGTCAAAAAAAGGCCCATGTTACATTGCCATATACTGTAATAAGCTTTCCAAGATAACAAAGGGCATTTAAGTTCAGAGTATTTTCAGCCTGATGGTTGATGGCAAGGGTGTGAAATACTTACCAATATACAGAGCAAAGACCAGAGCAGCCCCAATAAAAGCTCCAAGGAACTGAGCCAAGAAGTAGACCAACATCATTCTACAGGTCATCCTCTGGAGGAGGTACATTGAAAGAGACACAGCCGGGTTGAGGTGGGCACCTGCAGATTGTGCGATTGATTAACTTAAAGCAGAACTCCAAGCAAACAAGGTTGAAATGCATAAATGTGAAGGTTTTAAATGGACAATATTTTCTGTACTACTCAACTGGACAATACAGCGTGTGACAACACTTATAGTGCCTGCAGCCCCTCTCAGCATTCAGCTTGCTCGGTGCAATAGTGAGCGGCATCAGGCAAGGTCCTTTAGCACCCCTAAAGGGGTTCTACAAAATCTGTGCATGTCTATTAAAATTTACAGTACAATTCACCATGTAACTATTGTCTACATTGTAAAGCACTGTGCAAACTGTCGATACCAAAAATCCTGATTATAAAATCATAATATAATTATAATACAACTGCAACGATTTTGCATTGATTTATTCAATCATCTGGAAAGCCAATATGACCATAAAATGTTCCTGCCATTCAGCTGTATAATTGCACATCAACTTCAAGTTCTAACCAATTCTCCATTAAGCTGAGCTTAAAACTGGTCATCAGGCTAGTTTATTAGAGGCAAGGTAAGGGGTCCGGTCACACACAGGATCGCCAAGGGCCCATTAACACCAGGACAAACTATGAAGTGCATTAAAGTATCCTATTCGTTTGCATGGGTTGCCCAACGCATCACAATGCAACAAAACTCACACCTGCTGCATTCTTGCTAGTGCAGTAGAGAGCACAGAATTGAGCTGCAACATAGGTGCCTTGTGATGGTGCTCACGATGAATGGCACACCAGTGCACACAACATGCACTACTGCAGTGCAGGGGTGTAAATGGGCCTCAAAACTGTTGAGAAAACATTTTCCTACTTCCTTGTGTTCCCTCGCCGACAGAAAGTCCGACTTATCCAACCCGTAAATGATTGACACATAGAAACAAAGGAGTATTTCTCCCGTCACATTCACCCTTGAATAGCGATCCTGCCACTGAAGAGTTCCCAAGATTGGGGTTGTGGTAACGCAATGGTAAAAATGAGCCCGAGTCAAATTTCTGTAGGAACAACAAAGACACCATTAGGAAGCCGCTCACCTGACACTCCAGCACAGACGTAGGCCCCAGCGGTCACAGCAAACCCAAACGCCATGTTGACACTCAAAAATTGCGCCTTAGCATAGCCACTCAGTTCCATCTGAGCCACAGAGCCACAACCAAACAGCTAGGAGAGAAAAAATAGGGAGGGGGTCAGATATATGATAAAGGAGCATTCCTGTGCCTACAACAACCAGGGTAGCATTCTGAATGGCCAGCAAGGTTTGGTCAACTATGTACGTGTAAGAGATTGGCTTAAAAATGAACTCAGCATGAAGTACATTCAGGATAAAGTGATGAGTTCTCTTAACTGGAGGAGGAAGAGGTGTTAAGACATTCCCCATGATCTCTCTACTGCTCTGTGAGGCATTTAACATGTCCCCCAACCACCGCTTGTTGGAGCCCTCAAAAATATTCCGTATTTCGAGGTATGGAGGAGCATGTGACCACCGATCCTTCCTCCCAGGATGGAATGCTTGGGATGTAGTCTCCAACACTTTCACATGGTGAGGGAGAGAAAGTCGTTACCATGTTGTAGGCTTCCAATACTGATGAACATGGAGTTCTCAGAGATTAGACTTTCGGCTCTGGCAGGCGAAGAGGGTGGCTTCGGACCCCAGGGAAGTTCCTCTCCAGGTGAATCTTTTTTGTGCACATCATAAATCTTGTTTCTATATCATTTTTATATGTATATTGAGGAAGCCATATTCTCTCATTCCAAATTAAAGCAGGAACGGTCCAAAAAGTTGCTTTCCAAAAATAAAAGGGTTATTCTAAGTCCAGCATGGGTGGAACCATGATACCATGGTTATATGGGTGCTTGGCTTATAACTGGTATTTTCCCTTTACATTGGTGTGTATTGACAGCCAGGAAAGTCACTTTGCATGGACTATGGTGGCCAGGCTACCAGGCTCAATTCACAAAGCTTTAATGCAAGGATAAAGATCTTTATTTTAGCCATGTGACCAACTTTCAAATCTCATTGGACTCCGCTAAAAATAACTCACTTATTGAAAAATAAGGATCCTGTACTGGTGTTTTAGCTTTTGCAATTGAGCCTTAGGTAATGTAAACACAGTATTTGCTCAACCCAGAACATTAAGAACTCACATGAGCGTTAATCAATTGAAGATCCATGCCCTCATGCCTAAACACCTGTATTTGCCTCTCCATAGAAACTGTATTAAAAGGGTGAATCCCTTCTTTATTCTTTGCTTTCTAGCTTCTGTCACAGTAAGACCATATCACAGCATTTAAAATGAACCTCAGTCACCACTGGAAGCACGTGGGGACAACAGAAATGCAATTGGAAGACGGGGACAGAGCATTGTCACCCTACACAAGAAGTGCCTGAACAAGGACCTCAATGGCAGGATCACCAGTTTAAAGGGCAACTGCAGACAAGACATTTTTGGATAGCAAAAAGAGGGATTAGAACACCTGTCTGGTGTAACCTTAAGGCCCCCTTCACACCAGGGCAGTTTGATCATGCTGATTTGTGAGCGCTGAACCACCGACATGAACGATCCCATACATTCCTATGGGGACCGTTCATGCGATCACACTGCTCGGCACGATCCAAACCGCCTGCCACCCAAAATGCTCCTTGAGCTATTTTTTTTTGCACTCATCAGAGCCGATTCCATATAGGTTTTGAAGGAAACTGATCAGTGTGGTCTTCTGCCTTTCAGCACTGAAACACGATTTAAAAACACCCAAAACCACCCTCTTAAAATTCACACGGAAACCGCGCTGAAATGCATCCGCCCCGGTGTGAATGGGGCCTCAGGGAAGATTCACCCTCTGTCCTTGTGACCACTAATCACTAAAAGTGAACAAAAATCCCACATTATGGGTTGTCATCAGAACAGGAATAGAGAGGAAATCTTCCAATAGGGACACTAGATCTGCTGACCACCAGGGATGGAGACATTTCCTCTCACTTCCTGTCTGAGTGGCTCTCAGACAGGAAGTCAAGGTAAAGCTACCCAATGGGACACCGATGGCACAAAAAAATAATGACATGTTAACTTTTACATGAGATTTAAGTGGTTGCATTTACATCTACCTTAGGGTGTGTGTGTGTGTGTGTGTGTGTGTGTGTGTACACACAATTAGGCCTCAAATCCCCCCACACAGGGCATGTTACTGTGAGAGTAACACATGTGCTTGGTGTGCAGTGTGAATGCACATAGCAATGTGTTAAAACACATTTCTGATTATTATTATTATTATATTATTAAATAAAATAACCATTTAAAAATAAAAAAGAGCACTTCACAGCAGCACATTGCAATGTGTCACACAGCACATCAGAGTGCCTATCATTTTCAAAGCACACCAATACAGTATATCGGTGTGAACTAAAGCCATAGGATATAAGACAAATTGCCTTGATCTTGCCTTGGGACTGCATTGGGCATCACTGGCATGAATGAAACCTTGTGTACTACACAAGAGTTCTCCAACAACAACAAAATCTCAATACAATCTCTCGAATCAATAACAGACTTACAATCAATATGAGGGTCCCCAGGAATTCAGCCAGCCCGCAGCGCACATATTGATTATCCGTCCGCAGCTTCATTTTCAGCTTTTTTAGGATGAGAGTATACAGGTCCATGTTGAGCCGTATGTATAACCCTCCCAGCCAACTCTCCTCCCTACACTGATACAAACAGGACTTGGTAATCCAATGGCTGACCCCACAGCTGGCCTATATAGAAAAGCTAATACTGCTGATTAGTAGGAACACAAGTCCCTAATCCATGGACCTCACCCCCCTGGCCCGGCTTTATCAGCCCTGATGTCCAGAGGCAGCTGATTGTCATTGGCTTAACTGCTTCACTGCCCTGGAGATCAATCATTTCAATGTGAACTCCGGCCACCAGGGTTATAAAGGAGAACGTCGCTGCACACAGCGTTTCCGTAGTAAATGGACTATTTCAAGAACACTTTTGAACCACTATGGCCAAAAAACGAATAGGATAAAAATAGCCCATTAAGATATAACATACCAGCTTTTGCTTTTTGGGCATGGTGGTGCATTGACTTCAATGCACCACCACGCCCCTTCCCGCCCCTGAACGCAGTCTTTGTGGTGTGAACCGGCCCTGATTCTGTATGTATGGACTCTGCACAGTAACACTTCTCTTGTCCTGTATGCCGGGGGTCATTCTCAGTATCTGTTCTTATTCTGTATGTATGCAGTGGCATAACAATCGCCATAGCGACCCAGGCGGCGGCTACGGGGCCCGGGCACAGGGGGGCCCGGCCAGGGCCGCCTGGGTAGCTATGAACACTTCTCTAGTCCCGTATAGCGGGTGTTATTCTCAGTATCTGTTCTTATTTTTGCACAGTATCACTTCTCTTATTTTTCTCTTCTTTTTTTTTTTTTTTTTACTCAACCACTTACAGTCATCATGTTTTCTAACAGCTCCAACTCTCTCAGTTCGGCTTCCCTGAACTTCCTGCCAAGTACGAGATCACAAGGGACAGAGCAGACTCCAGCAACCGTCCATCTGCTAGCTTGGAGAAGGGAGGAGGGGGAGGGGAATGTCTTGCCTTGCTGTGCCTGTGTGTTTGTGAAGACACATACAGCTTACTAGCACACACAAGGGTGGCTCCATAGGACCCCACATGTTTCCATGTTTGGTAGATGCCCCCAACGAACTTTTCTTCTATCTCTCCTGCACACTATTGGTGAGATCTCTGTGCTGTGTCCATTATGAGGGACTCTCACCATCCCTGTGCTGAGTTCGAAGGTCTGTACACCTGCTGTGCCCATTATGAGGAGCTCCAACCATCCAAGTGCTCAGTTCCCCCGGGTCTGTACATCTGCTGTGCCCATTATGAGGGGTTCCCACCATCCCTGGTGGATTTCATACTCGGAGAATGTAACAGGAGGATCTGGGAACGAACAACCTTGTGCAGGAACACTCAGACCTCCCAAGTGGATAAGAACAGAGCCGGGAATAATGGCCTGGGAGATTTCACTGTTGGTACATCCAAGACTTATATAAAGCCCCCCGGGGGTCCTCTGATAACTAACATGTCACTTCCAGGTGGACTGATCTTTAATGAAGTGTGTGCCCATTAGTATAGCTGTGACAGGTATATGAAAGTCTATGGACCCATCGCACTCCTGACCGCTTGCTCCACAAGAATTGGATAGGTGCTATGGTAGTCCGTTGCTATGGCAACCATTACATGAATAGACAGAAACATGTTTTGCTTGAGGAAGGAGATCCTGCGAGACCCCGAAACGTTGCACCAGTGTGATATTCTGCATCTACGTCAATAAATAGACACATTTGAACTGCATTTGGAGTGCCGGTGTCCCTGTCTCATGTGTATATCTCTTTTTGGATAAAGGAATTAATGATTAATTGTTTTGCCAACATGCTTTATATTTCTGCTGTATGCGAGAGATTTCCAACGAGACTTTTTTTTTTTGGCAAAACTGCGTGACAGGTGCTCTTTTTACTTTTGGAAATGCAGAGGCTGCTATTGCAGAAAATGCCAGTTGCTTGGCTGTCTCTGGTTTTTAGTACTTTGGCACACAGACCCAGAGCAAGAACACAGGTCAAAAAAGTCAAAGTGAAGTTATCATTCCTTATTGGCATAATGTTCCTTGGCTGGTGAGACTTAAGCTGGCCACAGACCTTACAACCATTGCAAGACTTTTGTCTTGCGGTGGTTGTAAGGTAATTTAAAAAACGTACGATCTGCCCATCTTGGACAGGCAGATCGTACTTGCGATAATCGCAAGCACGCCCCGCTGAGGAGCGGGCTTCAGATGACCACAATGCTGAACTGGCAGTGTGCGCTTGCGCACACCGGCCCGTGTGGCATTTATCTTACGAACATGCCGCACACCCGCCGACAATTGTATAATTCTCGGCGGGTTTTCAAACATGTTCCTAAGATAAAAGTCGTGCGACCTTACAGTAGCAGAGGTCGCACGCCTTCCACACACCTTGCGATAATCGTACGATCGCCGCTATTATCGTACCATTATCGCAAGGTGTGTGGGCACCTTTAGAACGTATTGAAGGCGTTGGATCAGCACGATGGCCGGGGAATTCACAATTAATACGTAGCTGGCCCCCTGGTAGCCTCTCTGCTCTCTCACCACAGGTGTACTCTGAAATATTACCTCTTATTTCCATCTTTTTACATGTTCTCATTATTAAAGAGTACATCCAGGCATTACCCAAATATACCCCCAAAGCTCCCCCTCTAGATTAGGGATGCACCGATACTAGTATCGGTATCGGTGCCGATACCAAGTATTTGGGTGAGTACTCGTACTCGCCCAAATGCTGCGATGCCTAGCCCGATACCTCCCGAGCTTCCGGGATCAGGAAGCCGGGCAGCAAGTCATTAAATGCTATGGTCGTGGATATGGATATGGCTATGGCTAGTGGATATGGATATGGCTATGGCTATTGGATATGGTCATGGATATGGCTATTGGATATGGTCGTGATGACACGCTGACGTAATTTTCTGTGCAACGATTGTGGAGAGATGGCTTTTAAATAAGAACGATTAGAGACCCATTAAAGCGATTCTAGACCTGTTCAGGTCTATTTATAAGGTGAGCAGCCCACTGCGAGGGGGAGCACCTGGGTGATAATTGGAGTTGACGTATGGACTTTGTACAAAGAACTTTCACAGTGGAAGGATAAAGAGTGTGGTGCGCTTGGGACAAATCTTGAGCACTATATACGTGTGATTACACATTTGTGTATATTTGAACACAGAATATATGATTGAACTTTCCAGAGGACTACTATTTATAAGAAGATTCATTGTGAACACTTTTTTGATTGCAAGTATTATTTAAGCACATATTTATTATAGAGATTTGTTTATGTATTGTTCTACAGATGAAGCGCAGCACATTCATTATAATTTGATATATTCAGAGGGTAACACTTCTTATAGTGCTTGCAGCTACACAGGGTTTGGCGCGAGGTGCAATTTGTCACAAGTCATTACATGCTGCCTGTCTTCCTGATTGGCTGGGAAGCCGGCTCCATGCTCCCTCGTCACTTGGAAGCTGGCCAATCAGGAAACCGGACGGCAAATCATTACCTGCCCCCCCCCCTCCCCCCTTTCTGGCTTCCTGATTGACCAGAAAGCAGGCTTCATGCTCCCTCATCACCTGGTGATGAGGGAACATGGAGCCGGCTTCCCGGCCAATCAGGAAGCCGGGCAGCGTGTAATGACTCGCCGCCTAGCTTCCTGATTGGTCAGAAAGCCGGCTCCATGCTCCTTCGTCACCTGGTGACAAGGGAGCATGGAGACGGTTTCCCTGCTAATTGGGAAGCCGGGTGGCGAGTCATTACATGCCGCCTGGCTTCCTTAACCAGTTGACATCCGCAACTTTCGGTATCGGCGAGTATACAAATAAAAATATTGGTACTCGTACTTGAAACCGAAAAACCGGTATCGGTGCATCCCTAGTCTATAGCACACCCTAGCATAATTTTTTCTTATACCTTGTTCCTGGAGCAGGAAACAACTTGTATTACTCTGTGTGACATCATCACTGAGCTTGTAAATTTTGTACAGGGACTACTACTGGAAGCTTAGTTCCTATTAATGAAGGCACACCCCCAGAACTACACTTCCCAATAGCTCTTTGCCTACAACACAGTGTTTTGACAGGCTTTTGGCAATGAAGAGAACAGTACTGTTTTTGCTGGAAAATAAATCACTGTGTGCATGTGTACAAAGAGGGGTGGGGGGAAAGGAGGTGTTCTATAGTCCAGAAGTAAAGGCTGACAATGCTGCTTGGGAGTTCATTGCAGCAAAGGTAGCATTATCAGCCCAAACAGGAAGTTGGGAGCTCGCTGGGTTTCTGGCAGGTATTTTCCTGTACTTGCAGCATTTTTAATGGAATAAAACAAAGGGAAAATGTGCGTGTATTGCCAAGATGTACTAAATATGTTTTGTTTTTGTTTTTTGTTTTGTTTTTCCCAGGTATACATTAAGCCCATTGGCACCAATGCCGGCCCATTTAACCCTTTTGCTGCTGCCAATACAACTACTATGGAGGTGGCAGTGCTGGCACATAAACAAAGTCCTGACCGCCACAGCAGCCAGGAGTTTGTTTACACTTTTACTCCCTGATGTTGGCTTTCACATGGAAGTTATTTAGT